ACCTTCCCTCAGATGCTTACAAGGGCAGAGATCTTTCTAGAAGGGCTTTTGTGGATGCTCAATCCCAGCATGGCAGCTCCCCCACTCTTTGCTTTGCTGACTCCTCCTCTCCCCACTGGCCTCAGCTTGACTCTCCTTCCTCAGGGAGGCCCTTCCCTCTGTCCACCCACCAGCTATATTTTGCTCCCTTGTTATTCTGGCTCTTGGTTTTCAGCTATTTTCTTCTATAGAGATTAGCACAGTTTTAATTAAACATTTGTGTACATTTGTACAGTGTCTGTCTCTGCCTGACTAGTCGGCAAGCTTCATGAATGCAGAGACTCGCCTGCCGTGCCCACAGCTCTGTTCCTAGTGTGTCTGGCATGGAGTGTGTACTCACTAAAGACGTGTTGAGAGAACGAGTGCCGTGGACCCGTGAATCAGTCCTCCAGGAAATCAGAGCCCGCTGTCCCGAGTGTGATTCCAGACCCACATTGCTGTGCTCATTTTGAGCTGCAGTGAGAGCTGGGGGTTTCCTCTTAGTCATGGGGGAGGTGTCAGGTTCAGGGGGTGGGAGGGAATTATGATGGAAAAAGTTCAGGGGGAGGGGTCCCCATATTGAGGCCCACCCATAACATTTGTAATTATAAGTTGAGTGAACACATTATTACGTAAAATATGTTCTACCCTCCTAGCTTGACAAATATACCTTCACAATGCCTTGGAAGGCTAGGTTTGGATTCAGAAATCTTGGACTCTTTGGGGTTTCATACCAGAACTCCCAGCATAGGAAGAACTGGCTCCCTTGCCCAGATCAGATCTGCATAAATCAGATCCTTTCTCTTCTCACCTGCAGCTCCAGCCCACGCTGCGAAGAGCCTTGTGCCCACAGCTGTGCACATCCCGAGCTTCCTCCACGCCTTGTCCATAAACTGCCCCTCAGCTACCCTCAGACTCAGGGTACACGTAGGCATTGTAGCCCATCTTCAGAATTCCCATCTGTATTTCTGAAATGTGATCTAAAAGGGGGCGAGGGAGCTACAGGTGAAAGCACCGTTGTCTCCTTGCCTATGGAGGAGAGCCAGAGCTGCCCTTCTGCAGTACAGGCCAGGGCAGCAGCCTTCTTGCCTTGCTGTAGGGGTGATATTGTCTGTGCTTGTGGCTTCCTGGGGTAATTGGATAGGGAATGGACCGACAGGCATCCCGTTAGGCTTGTCCTTTCTAGACGCAGCCTACAGAAGAATAAACGCTCCATTAGCAGCTGGCTGGAGCTAGCTGAGGCTCTGGCTGGTGACTCTGGCCTCTGGTGTAGGCTTCCCTCAGATGAGTGCACAGATGAGAGCTCTACCTTCTCCTGACTGCCCAGGCCTCAGGACAACAAGTAAGCCAAGAGCCTCAGTCCTTCCCTTGTACTTCTTGTCCTTCTCCTGGGAGTGACCAGGCCTGCGGTCAGTCCTTCTGCCATCTGCCTCTCTCACGTCCTCAGGCGGAGGCATCCTTGCATGTGGGGATCTGTGCTCCGTGCTCAGGAGGGATCCAGCACCCTGGGTGTGTGTGGGGGTTGTTAGGGATTTTCTGGGACTGTTAGGCTGTCAGGTTTTTATCAGTGAGGGGCAGGAGGGATCCCAAGGTATTTTTGAGCAGGGAAGAGAGAGGTCCAGGCTACCAACTGGTTGTATCTGCTTTGCTGGGGGGTGGGAACGGGGGTAGTGGCTCCCTGGCCTGGGAGCAGGACTGCAGTGAGTATGCTGGAACTCTGAGCTCCTGCAGTTAAGCCAACTGAAGGTGGGCATACGGTTGAGTGGGTCAGCCAGCAGACAGAGCTCCGACCTCTTCATTTTCTCTCTGGTTAGGCTGAGTTCAAATGACTTTACCTGACTTTGGAAGACTCTTGAGGAGGCTAAGCAGGCCCAGCCAGTGGGTACAGGCTTGAAGACCAACAGGGTGGGCTGGCAGACAGGACAGCATCAGCATCTCAATCCAGGTGTCCCAGCCAGGACCACCCCAACCACCACCAGGAGAATGGAACCAGCCCCCAGCCCTTGTGAGCAGCTCTCCCTTTTCTGCACTATCTCAAGGGAAATCTGAAGACAAGCTACCAGCATGAGATGTCCTGGTGTTCAGGCAACACAGTTAAACAAAAGTGTGATGCTGCTGTGGGAAGGCCTGCCCCAGGACACTACCATACCATGCCATCTTCTGTTCCTGCCAGCTGAAGTTTTATTCCCAGGCAATGCTTTCTCCTTTTACCATTTCCCCTGGGACCCTGACTGGCTCTCTTTGGGGACTGAGGTCTTACAGGCCAGGAGGTGCCTTTGAGCTCATGTTAGGGGCTGTGTCCCTGTGAACTCACTGGAATCCTTTGTTGACACACTGCTTTCTTACCAGTCTGTGAGCTCTTTGAGGGCAGGGCTTGTGGTGCTACTATTTAGTAATTCCTGTATCCCAGTTGGTGCTGACACATAGTAGGTGCATAGTAAGTGCTTATTGAATGAACAGATGGGTGCATTTCCTGTTCTACAGATACCTGTTCAAACTTTGTTTTGTACTTTATTTTGTTAACCCAGTTAATGCTTCTGACAAGATGTCCTACAACTCCTCCCCACCCCATTAAAAAGGAGGGCCCTTGGCCTCAAATAGGCCAATCAGGCTCCGTTGGTTGGGAGTTGAATCTTCAGTGAGCAACTGGGGAAGATAGAACAGAACTATTTTCGGAGGCCCTGAGGCCTGCATCCTCAAGGCTACCTGGCTTTGTCTTTTCTGAGGCTTGGTCAACATTTTCCTTGGTTCTCTAAGTTACTCACAACTTTCTAATACATTTCCTCTTTTACTTTAGTTAAAACCAGAGTTGGTTTCTATTGCTTGCCTCCAAAGAAACTTGACTGATGTAAGTGTTTCCTATTATTTTTAAATCTCCTAAAGAACATAAAATTTTTAATGACTATATATGTTATATTCACTTATTTGACTGATTTGCTGGGTTTTTTTTCCTGGTAATGGGATTATTACTTTCTATCATCTCTTTTCAATTCTGATACCTTCCCAAAGCAACATACTATAAAAAAGGCACAAGAAGGGAAGCTAGAATAAATTGTCTTTAGAGAAAGCTTGGCTTTTTTTCTGACACCCTAGCAGAATCCTTTCATTGACCTCTTTTGACCATCTCTTCATTCATTCATTCATTCTTTTTATTTCTTAATTTTAATTATTTCTTTCTTTTAGAGATGGGGTCTCACTGTGCTGCCCAGGCTGGTCTTGAACTTCTGGCCTTGAGTGATCCTCCCACTTTAGCCTCCTTAGTAATTGGGACTACAGGTGTACACCACAGTGCCTGCCCATTCTTTCTTTCATTTATAATTCATTATTATAAGTCTCTAGTCTACAGTATTGTTCTGAGATGGTTTCTGCTTAAGCAGATTCGTTGAAACAGTTTACTTCATATTTGGATTTTCCCACCTGTCAGAACATTCTTCCTTGGTAATCTAGTGCGGTGGAAGGGACTGGACTGATTTAGATAATCGAAAGGTAATTCTGACTGTGCCTCTAATTATGTAATTTCAGAGGAGTAACATTCTCTTTGGATTTCGGTTTCCACGTGAGAAATAAAACAACTTGAACTGAGTAACTACAGATTTCCTTCCAGCTTTAAGATCCTATTATTCATATGAGTCAATATCTGCCTTTTAGTGATATGCTCCACTGGCCCCAGTTACACAGTCTGGGCTTATGTGATAGCCCTTCAAATATTTGAGAACCTATGCTCCCGTGAGTGTTTTGTTCTAGGCTCAACATAACCAGTTTCTGTAATCATTTCTCATATGGTAAGGTTTTTAAACTTTTCACCATTCTGGTCATTCTCTTCGGGACACTCCAGTTTTTCAGTGTCTGCATGGAAATATGGCTTTGAGACCTGGACCCGGGCTGGTCACGCTGTGGGAGTCTCCCCACTACTTGCCCCTGCGCTCAGCCTGCCCCTCCTGGCAGATAATGTTGACTAAGGCACAGCCCAAGGGGAGGCAGCCACTACAACTTTCCTAGATCTAGCAATAGTTATTTGTTGCCATTTTAGAGGCCCTTCCTTCAGGCTCTATGCAGAACAGATGCAGGTAGCCATGGAGCCAAATCTGGAAGGAGATGGTGCTTCCTCTGAAGATCAGTAAGTAACCAAGAGTGATTAACTGAACAAGTGCTAGTTCTTAATACACAAGGAAGGAGGATTTGCTACAGGTGTCATTAATGTTTGCAGCAGCTTTTTTTTTTTTTTTTTTTTTAATTGAGACGGAGTCTCACTGTGTTGCCCAGGCTGAAGTGCAGTGGCACAATCTCAGCTCATACAGCAGTTTTTTAAAAAATGAGGCACCGAATGTTCATGTCTCCATTGATGAGAAAAATGTCCTCTCTAACCCTTTTCTTTTGCTATGCCCCTTTCCCATTCTCTCTGATATCATGTCTCATGAGTCCTTTGCCCTAGCAGCTCTTGTATTTGTCTTTTGTACAGGAGAACAGATGCAAAAACTACTGCTCAAGGAAAATAAACTGAAAACAAGGAAAAGCAAAAGCAGATCTGGAGAGGGCTCTGGCCGGACCATAGGCGTCCTGGAGCTGTGAAGTAGAGGGTGTTCTGGGGGGAGTCTGATCTCTGGACTCTTGAGGGGTTCTTTCTGTCATTGTCACTCCAACAAAGGGCATTCCGACATATGATGCGGCCCCGGGCCGTCTCTCTAGACTCTTGTCCTTGTTCTTGCTCTCCCTTGTGTGGATCCAGCCCCTCTGGCCTCCACTCTCTTCTTTGCAAACACCAACCATGCTGTCACTTTATGGCCTTTGCATTTGCTGGTCTCTTTGTCTGGAACACTCTGCCACTGCACGCTCACTCCTCCACGTCACTGGGCCTCTGTTCAAATGGCACCCCACTGAAGGTGTCATTGATTGCTTTCTCTAAGACAGACCCTGTCTCCCCAACACATTGTTCTGTAGCCCTTTACTCTGCCTTATCTTTCTTAACAGAAACTAACAACATCTGACATATGCTTACTTGTTTATTTATATTATCCAGAACATAAACTCTCAAAGGCAAGGGTTTTGCTTCACTACTGATTCCCAAGTACCAAGAAATGTACCCAGCACATGCAGCACCCTCAATCAGTATTTGTTGTGGTGTGACTTTTTAAGCATCAGTCTCAACGCTTATTAGCACAAGATTGGTCTCACGGAAGCACTTTGTGTTTTTTTGGCAGAGGGTTCATTAGTCCACTAGTTGACAAGTGAGTCATTGAGGATGGGAACTTTATTTGAGCAGTGTGGATCTGCTCAGCAAGGCCCTGGTGCACCACAGTACAAACCACTGTGGAAATGAGGTTGCTAAAAGTCACCTTGTGGAGGGAGAGCTGTGGGTCCCATCTCATCCAGAGCTGCTTTGATCTGAGGTGGGGCCCTGGAGATGAACAGAAGAAAGGTGGGGAGTGCTGTGTTTTTCCCCAGAAACCCACCAGGGCTCCTTGTCAGATCCTGGGCTTTCCTTTTCACTCATTTTTAGGGGCCGAGGCCAGTTTTGCATGATTCAGTGACCAGGCATATGGCATGACTGTAGGTGGCAGGTGGGGACAGCACAAGCTGACAGGTTGAGTGGCCATGGACCCTGTTCAGGTAATCTTGGGGGAAGGTGATAGGAGAGAAGTGCATGTGGGAAAGGGATGAGATTTTGATAAAGCCAGGTTACCAGCAGGGAACGTCTGAGCAGGCCAGGCAGGGAGGATCTGGGAACAATCGAGTGGAGGAGTGGTGGTGTGGATCCGGAGGCCAGCTGTGCTGGTCCTTTGTCCAAGGTGAAGTGATTGCCCGGGAACTGGGGACAAGAGGGAAGGTCCTTGGACAGGACTGACATCCTAGGTGGGGAGACTGAAGTCACCCTGGGAAAACAGTACTTCAAACCCACCCCTGTTTCTTCAATACCTCCTTCCTCTCTGTTATCAAGACTTGAGTGAGGCCCCAGAAAAAAATCCAGTTACACCTGGGTGAGAGAAACTGTGAACCTTAACGGCTAATAATCCCCAAGGCTAAGTTTAGCTCATTAAGTGTTTTTCCAGTAGCAATCAATACTCCAGAGCTCTTCTAGACAGAATCACTCAGGGGCAGAATGTATTTTCCTAAGATGGCCACAATAAGAAGTTCGATGGAGTCAGAGTGACCTCTACAGTCCACCTGTTTGGTGGTGGGGTCTTTGTCCCCTCCCCTTGAACTAAGGTAGGTCTGCATTTGCATTGAAAGTGAATGTGGCAGATTCTAGAGTGCCTCAGTACCCTTTCTGTCCATAATGTTAATTCTGCATAGCGTTTTATAGCTCTTCACTCTCTCAGTTTCAGGGAAGAAGACTCATCCTGAGCTGAGCTGCTTTTCTTGAAGTTGTGCAAGAACGTCCTGCTGGCTGGGGCAAATTCAATAGTTTTTTCCTGGTCACTGTGCTGGAGCGTGAGGTAAGACTCTCCACCCTCACTCCCAGATCCTGCAGGAGGCGTGAGAGTGGAGGGAGATGGTGAGGATGTCTATTAATATGGTGTTTCCTGTAAAACGGTGCCCATTTCAACTATGGGTTGTCAAACATCCTTGGTGTCTACAACTGCAATTTACCTCTGAGGGGCCATGAACTCTGATTACCTGAAAGTCCTTAAGCCAGAAAGAGAAACGCCTGTCCGCCACCTCTCACTTTCACCTGTTTCTAGACCTTTTCTTACAGCAATGTTTTGGCCATCAGGAAGCATCAGAATCTCAAACTGCAGGGTCTGGGGCTGAAGCTGATGCTAGCATGGGTGACTCAGAGTTCCTCTATCAGTTCAAATATCTAATATATTTTAGAGCCTAAGACTCAGGCTGGAGGCAATTCTTTAGTGCCAGTTGGTTAATACTTTATGAATAGTGGTGGGGGAGGGAATGCCTTGAACTATTAATGTCCCCATGGATCTGGATCCTGGAGAACTTCCAGTGTCCTGGAGGGAATGTGCTGCTTGGCTCATCTTGCCCAGAGAAGAGCCAGGATATGAGAAGATGGGAGAGAGAAGGGGGAGGTGCGAAATGTGCTGGTGCTTTCTGTCCTCGTGGTGTGATGGCTGCCCAGGTTGCTCCTTCGAGGCAGGACAGGATTCCCATGGGAGGTATAAGGAGTATGGTGATTTCCAGGCACCAGTTATGTCCCCGAACATCGCGTGCCTGTGCAGTGCGGTTACTGATGGTCCAGGCATCAGTTCATATTGTCCTTTATGGCAGATCCTGCACAAGGGGGTTCTCTGTCTCTGGACCCACCCTATCAGCACGGACATCCTTTTTCTTTTTCCCTGGTAAGGACATCAGAAAGAAAGTTACCCCTCCAATGTTTGGAGTCTTGGCATCCTTGGCCTGCCCGCAGGCCTCTGAATCCTCAGTGTGTTAGCCCAAGGTCACCTTAGGGAAAGGAACACTTCTCCCGGTCTTCCAACACCCTGGAAAGGGAGGCGCTTCAAGAATAGGAAATTCTTCCTAATGTCTAACCTTGGCCTGCAACTATGCCATACGTTTAATTGCAGAAGGTATGGAAAGTTAGGGCTGTGGTGGACCCAGTTAAATAACTGGACAGAAGCCATGAGGCAGAGCCAGAACCAGCTTCTGGACTCCCTGCGTGGAGCTTTCTACTATCCTAGGTGGTTGGGTCCCTTCTCAGCGGCCAAAGATGCTATTTTATGAGCCTTGAGGACATGACACTAGGTGAAAAAAACCTGGCCAAAGGGCCACATAGTGTATAGTTTTATTTATATGAAATGTCCAGGAAAGACAAAAGCATAGAGGCAGAAAGTAGACTAGTGCTATGGGAGGAATGGGGGAATTGGGAGGTGATGGCTAAGGGGTTATGGGGTTTTGGGGGAGGTAATGGAACTGTTTTAAAATTGGTTGTGGGGATGGATGCACAAGTCTGCGAATACACTAAAAGGCATTGAATTGCATACTTTAAATAGGTGACTTGTATGCTATGTGAATTATATCTCAATAAAGCTATTTTTTCCCCTGCTCATTCCTGGCTTCCATTTTCTTATCACAAATCCTGGGGACTCTTGGGGCAGGGGCCAGGGCCACACCCTCCCACAGCAGATGGGGCTTTCAGATGGAGTGCAGCCTCAGCTGATCCCTCTTGCCCTCCTCCCTGCTGGAGAGAATGAACAGGAATCAGCACTGCCTGTCCCCATGCTTACAGGCTGGACCCAGACCCTGCCTTCTAGGACACACCCATCATAATGAGGCCTCAGTGCCTCCTCCTTGCTGACCCCCTTTCTCCACCTTGGGACAAGCCAGTTCCGACAGCCTGGGATGGAAATGACCACGGAGCCCTGGTCAGTCGGGTAGTTCTTTCAGGGGCAGGGCATCCTGGGGCAGAGGAAGGGACTGAGCTGGATGTAGAGCTTAGAACCTGGTCTGATCTCGGAGTTTCCTCTTCCTTCCTCTTCTCAAGAAGGCAGCCCTATCAGCCACTGGCCAGGGAGTAGCTTCTCTTAAGGAGACATTTTGTAGAACTCTCAGGCAAGAAGGGGTTGGGAGTCGTCTAGACTCCCACTCAACAATGTTTGTCGATGCCAGCTATGTTTCAGGAACCCTTGTGTTCTAGGAACCATTGACATGCCCAGTGGTGACCCAGCATCCTCCTTTTAAGGGCTCAGAATTCAGTGGGGAAGTAAATGTAAGTAGTTCTCTGATTGGGGTAAGCAATGGAGATTAAAGAAAGGACATTAATCAGCCTGAGTGTGGGGGAGGTCAGGGAAGGCTTTCTGGAGCAAGCACACCTTGAAGACTGAGTATGAGTCAGCCACATGAAGCGGGGAGGCTGGGTGGGAAATCATGGAAAGTGTGTTCCAGGCAGAGGGAATATTATGTACAAAGGTCTGCAGATGGATGTGAGGGAACAGTTCATTTGGAGAACCGCAAAAGAAAATTCAAGTAGTTGAGTCTGGTTGGAAACCAAGATATGAGCTAGAGAAGGCCAAGAGATGAGGTGGGAGAGGTAAGAAGGGGCAGACCATCTGAAGCCTAAATAGGAGGAGGTCCAAGACCCCCTCCCCCCCAGGAACTCCACCTCCTCCACCTACCTCCTGCACCTGCAGGATTCCTACCTGAGCAGGGGCCCCAGTGCCAGGCAGAGAAGAGAGTAACCAGCATCAGGAGCAGCGAGACAGGTACCACCACCAGCAGCACATCTTTGTAGGAGGCCTTCCCTGGTGCTGAACATGGAGGGGTGGAGTCAGAGGTGGACTTGATGCTTCATAAGCCCTCAACCATTGACTGCTGACCCTTGGCATACCTGCTTCATGATGGCAGCTGTCCCAGGGCGTGACTGTGGCCAAGTCCCAGCTGACAGGGTTGGAGACAATGCAGGAATAGGCCACACCTCTGTCTCCTGGTCCCAGGGATACGCTCAGCAGCTGTCCGTCTGTGAAGAGGCTGTGTGGTTCCATACCAAAGTCCATGGTTGTCTCCCGTCGCCAGCTATAGGTTATTTCACTGATGTTGGGGGCCCAACAGGACAAGAAAACCTGGCAGGTTTTGGGGGGCTGAGCATCCCCTCCTACAGCAATGAACACTTGTACCACGGGCCTGGGCACTGCATCTGGGAAAGAAAAGTACAACAGGTAGGGGTCCCAGGGATGCTGGGCAGGGTCCATATCTCTGGCTCTGGGATGCACCAGGGTTAGATGCCACCTCTGACTAGGCCTCTCTTGTTCCAAAATCTTGTCTGGCTTTCCACTGCCCACAGGACAGAAGCTGAATTCCTTAGCTTGATATTCAAAACCTTTCAGGAAATGATTCATGCCCATCTCTCCAGCTGTACCTCCTGCTGCTTCTCCCTGCTCATCCTAATTAATTTGCAGTTTTCCCACATATGTCATGCTCTTAAATATCTTTCATGCTTTCACATGGTTCATCTGTGCACATAGATGCCTTTCACCTCTTGTCCTCCCAGAAAACTCCTACCCATCCTTCAAGGCCCGGCTTGAACACATTGCTTAATGCCTTGACTGTGAAGCCTTCCCAGGCATGGCTCTGAGCTCTACAAGCACTCTCTCTCTTTCTGTAGTATTTATCTCACAATATGTCAGCCAGTCAACAAGAGATGACAAGCATTTGTTAAGTCAGGCAAGAAAACAAACACATTCCTAGCCTTCTGGAGCTTACAGTTTGGTGAGAAAGACAAATACTGACAAATGATTATGAATAATTAATAAAATAATTATGAGGGTGCAAAATGCTGTGAAGGAGGGGCCCAGAGGTGGGGTCCCTGTCTTGTTAGCTCAGTAACCTTAGCTGTCTAGTGCTGGCAAATAGTGGGTGCTCGATACCTGGTCACTGAACAAACTGATATCCTGGTGTCCTAGGCCACGGATCCCCCTTCCTATACAGGTTGATGAGTAAATCCTGAGTCTCAGTGGAAATGAGGCCAGTGGGAGAGCATTCTGGTAACAACAGGAGGGCTCAGTCTCTGACAGCATTCCAAAGTCAAGCAGAGAAAAACCTCGTTAATGCCAGTTCAGTCTGGTGGGATTTGTGATATGAAAGAGAAATGATTTGCTGGGCACACTAATAGTATAAACAAAGATTACAGGGGGGATATTTACATCACTTAAGAGGACAAGCTGCTTCCAAACACGATCAAGCACAGTAGAAACACCCATTGACATTTCTAGTAACTGATCTGCTAATTCAAATCATTCTTATCTATTGTCAAAGCAGAGCTCCTAAGGATGGCTGCTTGGCAGCTTCGTGCAATTAGTTCTAATCACGCTATGTATTTGGAAGCAATAAAACAGCAATTTCCTTAAAATCTGTAATTCAGATGCTGAGAACAAGGCATTTTAGAGCTTAGTGGTGTGGGTGCCGCATGTATTATCACATTCAATGTCCTCATTTCACATGTGCGGCAGCTGAGACTTAGACCGGAGGAGGGGCTCCAGGGGCTGACTGTATGGTAGGGTAGGTTATTCACTGCACAAGGACATTGGGCTAAGGGGGTCACAGGGTAACAGGTGGCAGGGGGTGGGGGTGCTGAAATACAGCCAGTACTCTGCTTGCCAAGATGAGGCTCAGGGCTGTGTGCATCTAGAAAGACACCTGCAATGGCATTGGCACCCTGCGTGGCTCGCCCAAGGACAGCCAGTTAGCTGGCCCCGGGGGAATTCAAGACACCGCCCCAATTTGCTTACAGCCTTTATCTCCCTCATGACTACCCTCTTCCAAGCTGCTACCTCTGCTTTCCATTCTTAAAGCTGGACTCCCCCCTCTTCCACTCTATCTAAATTTCTAAGGTTTTACTGAAACAGTGATTTAGGGTCACCCATGCCTCTTTTCTAAACCATTAGGTAGATAAATGAGAGCTGAAAGCCCCTTTTTCTTGACCAGAAGACAAATGATGAAGGTGGTGGAGGTGGCTGTGGTGGAGGTGGAGGTGGAGTTGTTTGGAAACAAGGTCCACCCAGCCCCCAGTCCATGCAGCCAACTGAGGTGCTGAATGTAGCTGTGCGAAGGGCTCTGCAGACCCATGTGAAGCAGAAGTTGCACCCAGCTGGGCCTGCCAACCCACGGAATTATGAGAAGTAAACATCGTCGTTGTTTTCAGTCAGTAAGTTTTGGGATGGTTTGTTTTGCAATGATGAATGACTGAGAGAACCCATGAATCATATATAGTTAAAATCTTTCTAAGAAGCCCTTTTAAGAAATGTGTAAATTCTATACTTTCAGTCATAGTTTCATTATAATTTGATTTTTAAATAAATCCATTATGTCACAGTTTAGTATGTAACATCTTTTTTTTTTTTTTCCTTTATAGTGGTATATAGACTAGTGGCACATCTTACAGTCTATGATGATCCTTTAGAACTGAGGAAGCACAGGCCAGGCTCTGTCCTGGATTCCACTGCAAATCCCACTGCATTTCACCCTGTGGGTACTCTACATGGTAGTATTACAATGCCCATTTACAAAGGAGAAAGGTGAAGGCCAGGGAGGCTAAGCATTGTGTCTAAGGCCACTGAGCTAAGAAAAGACTGAGCTAGAGTTCAGGCAAGCACTGTGAAACGGCAAAGCCTGGCTGCTGCAGCCACGAGGAATTTTCTTAGACATGACTACCAGGGAGCAGCTGTTCCCTGAGTCAGCAACATGGTCAGAGACCAGAGCTTTCTGGAACCCAGCTCTCCCTGGCTGCTATGACTCAGGATGCTTGTCTGGTGCTTTGTGGGAGAAGAGGGTCAGGCAGCCAGTGTCAGACACACTCACCGTACACTTTTAGCTGGAGGGTCTGGGTCCAGGTCTGGCCCCTTATGTCCACCATCAACACGGAGAAGTTGCCGCTGTCTCCAGACTCCAGTGGCCCGAGCTCCAGGCTGAGGTTGCTGTGTAGCTGGGCTCGGCCCAGGAAGCGGGAGTGGTACAGAGTCTCCAGGGAGCCTCGAAAAAATGTGGCCAGGAGCTCCTCTGAAGGCCAGAGAGATCGCCAGATAGCCTCACGGACTTGGAAGCCGGGAGGGCGTGCTGCCACCAGCAGCACCGAGCCCCCGACTTTGCTCAGCACTTGGGCACCAGTAACTGTAATGGGAAGTAGGGCTGAAAGAACAGAGCCCCTGATCACTCTGCCTGCCCCACACTCCTCATCCTTCTTTTGCATGCATCTGAGCTGCTATGGGGTGAACTGGGGCCCCTCCACTGACACTCCCTTCACTCAAGTTGAGGGTACACTGTGCCAGGTACCGGGGATAAAACATATGGAAGATAACCCCAGTGTCTGCATTCATGGAGCTTACAGAGGAAGCCAGACATTCAAGAAAGCAATTAAAATGAATTCTGTTAAATACCATGAAGGGAAAAATGGGATGCCCTGGGAGAACACAGGTAGAGTGACAGGGGACCTCACCCAGACTTGATGGGCTCAGAAAACAAATTGTTCAGCTGAGCCTTGAAGAGGAATGGGAATGAGCCAGGCCAAGCGGAGGGCGGCCTGGAGCAGGATGGGGAAGTGTCACCGGCAGAGGGCACAGTACTGACAAAGGCCTGGAGGGGGAGAGTTGGTGCCGAGGGGAACTGAGAGTAGTTCTCTGTGTGAGGAGTAGGAAATTACACTGCAGAGTCGGTGGGAGTCAGATCATGCAGGGCCCTGAAAGCAATACTGGAGTTTGAGCTTTATCTGTAGAGCAATGGGGGGTCTCAGGTGGGTTTTAAGCAGGAGCGTAACAGGATTAGATGCATGGTTAGAAAGATCACTCCAGCAGAGATGTGGAGGATGCACTGGAGGTGGGCAGGACTGAGGCTGTTCACATTAGTCCAACGGAGAAGTGATGGCAACTTGAATTGAGGAAGGGAGCAACTGGGATGGAAAGAAGTGGGAGGAATTGAGAAACATGAAGATGGTGTAATCAGTCAGATTTGGTAATAGATTAGCTCTGGGGAGTGAAGGAGAAAAAGGAGTCAAGGATGGCTCCCAGGTCCTTGGGATCCACTGGATATCATTCTCTGTGATCCAGAACAGGAGGAGAAACAGACAGGGGGCGAGATGGCAAGATGCTGTTTTTGGGGACTGTATTTGAGTCAGGGGTGTATAGGAGACACTTCTGCTTGAAATGTCCCTCTGACTCCTTTGCTGACTAACTTCTGCCCACTCTTGTAGCATCACTGCCTCCTCTGACCTCCCCTATCCCTCATAGGTAATGTAACCAAGAGAGATTACATATTCTCTCTTGTGTTCTCACAGTGGCCTGGGGTCACCATGCTGACTACCCTTATTCCTCTATTATTATTGCCTGTTTATGAGTCAGCATCTCCCACTAGACTGTGAGCTCTTTCTCCCCATGGTTGTGCTTCCAGTGCCCACCACCGTTTAGGAACAGACTGTGGGAGAAGCCTAGTAAATGGTATTGAATAAATCACCTACCCTGCTGAGGACTGACCCTATGCCTGTCACTGGCACAGGGTGTAGGGAAGAATAAGAGGTGATGAAGGTTTGGTCAATGAGCCGTGTTCTGGATGGTTGCTCGGTTGGCCATGATAATTCCAGTCCCTCCTCCGCCTCACTGTCCTCCAGGCCCAACAACCTCCTCTCACACTGGAGAAGGCTTCAGTGTTAACGCAGAGTAGGAATGTAACACACAAAGAGCATTGCACTGGATGTCAACCAAGACCTAGCTTCTACCCGCTCCTGGTGCTGCCACGATCAGCTGTGTGGCCTGCTGCACGTCACCCCCCACCGCCCAGGCTTCAGTACCACTGAAAAATAAGGGGTCTTTACCAGGTCAGTCACACAGATCTTTTATCATTAAGGGCCATTTGAAAAATTATTTTTGGGCTGGGTGTGGTGGCTCATGCCTGTAATTCTAGCACTTTGGCAGGCTGAGGAGGGCGGATCACTTGAGGTCAGGAGTTTGAGACCAGCCTGGTCAACATGATAAAACCCCATCTCTACTAAAAACACAAAAATTAGCCGGGTGTGGTGTCAGGGACCTGTAATCCCGGCTACTCGGGAGGCTGAGACAGGAGAATCACTTGAACCCAGGAGGCAGAGGTTGCAGTGAGCCGAGATGCACCACTGCACTCCAGCCTGGGCGACAGAGCAAGACTCAGTCTCAAAAAAAAAAAAAAAAAAAAAAAAAGGCAAATTATTTTTGTCTCACATGTCCGCTGATTTGAAAGATTTTGTGAGCCAAACAGACCGAGGCCTTTTTTGAGGTTAAGGTGTGATTTCCTGCACACGTTTAGAAATGTTGAAGAAATCTGCAGGCTTTGGAGCTCTCAGGGCCAGGAACCCAGGCAGGGAGAAGAGACAAAGCAACCCAAAGTCCCTATGAGCCTCTGATGTAAACAACGGCATCTTAATCTTTGCCGCACCCCATAAACCCTCATCCATGGCCTGGCAGTGCTGACCCATGTCACGTTGGCTGCTTGTTGACCGAGGAAGGGAACTCAGGCATCAGATGGATAGAGGGATCGCCCAGTGTGGAGGAGACCCCGTGTGTCAGCCATCCCAACCTCACACCACCATCAGCCACCCCCACGTCCACGTGGGCCGTATTTAGCCTCTCTCATCCCTACTTAGTACTTGCCTCCCCTTAAGAAGGCCTGCAGGGAGGGACCTCAGCTCCCCCACAGGCTGCTGAAAACACACCCTGCTGATTGTGGGGAACCCTGCTCTGCCCTGCTCTCTGCTTCTCTCCTCAAGCTCTGTAGAGTTTCTGCGTGCTAACACTGCTGGGTCCTCACCATTCTCACAGCCGACTTCCGCTGGCTCCGTTTTTACTGCCCTGGGCCACAAAACAGCTCATGTCTCACAGATAAGAATACCCCTCAAGCTGCCACCTCCTCCCTCTCACGACCCTGCATTTCTTTGTATCTGCCTAGCTTAAAATGTTGCCCAAGAGCTTGTTCTAGTCTTCCCTACCCACCCTCAGCTCCTGGGTTCTCACTCGGGTTGAGGGAGCCCTGCCCAGACGTCTGGCGAAGGCAGCTGCGGAGGGGCCTTCAGCTCTCCAAGGACAGGCTGTCTGCCCTGCCCCACTTACCTTCCCAGAGAAGCAGACTCCACAGGGGCCTCATGGCCATCCTTCTCTGGTGAGGCAGGTAAACTCCTTCAACAACCAAAATCCAGAACCTCCCGGGCTGAGTGGGTGCACGGGAGGAGCTGTGGTCCTTCTGGGAAGTCCCATGTTCAGAAGGAGGAATCTTGACTCAGAACAGGATGCCCCAAAAGTGAAAACATCCAGAATAAAGTGGAAGTTGGCCCTGGGCCTCACTGGGCTTTCGGGAGCAGATTCTTGTAAGTCAGCCTCTTTCACATGCACATGGTTGGCTAACACATGGCGACAAGAGCCCCCACACAAGCCACATCCTTCTTGCTGGATCTCACTGGCCTCCCTGCATCCCAGCCTGCCTTGCTGCGATCTGTCCCCATCAATCTAGCTTAAAATCCTTCTGTGGCCTCCCGTGGCCCTGAGAATGAGGACTAACTCTCTGTTCTGCATGCAGGCCCTCCTGAGTCAGGCCTTCTTCTCCAGGCTGGTCACCCACAGTTATTCTTCCCTCCAGCCATCCCAAGCCAGAAGGCCTCCTTCTCAGAACTACTGATTTCACACTTCCCTGTGTGGTACTTCCCCCCTTCCCCCGACTAGGCCTGCTGCTCCTTTTATCCTTGCAAACAGAGCGTGGCTGTGCAGTCAGCGAGGATGTCCTTCCAGGCTTCCTGACCACAGGCAGGTGAGAGGCCCTCTCCTTGTGCCCACACCTCCCTCTTTACTCTTGATGTGTTGTTGATGGCAGTTTTCTGGTCTTCACAGACTGTTTAGCCAGCACGGTCTTTTATTCCTTTCTGTGTTGCCCTCAGTGCTTGGCACATTACAGATGTTTCTGAGTATTTGTTAAGTGAGTGAGTACATTCTAGACATGGCTACACGTTTGGCTTTATGTAAGCCTTGCACCTCTTCTCTGAGAGGATCATCTTGTTATCCAGTTAGAAATGGAAAAATGTGAAAACCAGAGTGAGGTTAAGCCCCTTGCAGAGGTCACAGAGGTGCGGAGCTGGAACTTAAACCTCAACCTTTGAAGTGTGGTCTATTTTGCCACAGTCACCCCCTCCTCATCCTGTTTCTCTTCTCACTTCAAGTTTCCTGGTTTCTCGTAAGGGAACGTTTTTAGAGGACGTGTTGCCCCTAAGGAAAATTCCTGCTAGTCTGGAGTGTGGCTTATTGTATCTGGCCCTGCACAGCCTCTCACCTGTCAATCAAACTGGACACTGAGCTTTGGACTCAGCCAGGAACTAGGCATATAGGATGGGGCGGGGGTGGTGGTGAGCAGGAGGATTTTGGGATAAGGTTTTTGCCCTCCAGGCACTCACAACCAAAATGTAGAGATAGATACACCAGGGAAAGTGAAGGCTTATCTGCAGACAGACACCACTTTGTGCAAACAGGTAGTCAGCCCTCAGAAGTGGGTGGGAAAGAGGGCTTCGTGGATCTGGGCAGGGGACCCTTCTTGAGAAGGTGGAATTTGAGCTGTGCCTTGAAGATGGGCATGGTTTAGATAGGATGAGGAAAAGATAGAGCCAGAGGTTGGGGGTGGGCTCTGGGCAGGAGGGGAGAGCACAGCGTACAGGGATGTGGCCATGGGAAAATACCAAGTAGGCTCCACAGAGGACAAGTGACAGCAGACAGGAATCCTTCAGGGCTGGGTGGGAAGAATGGAAAAGGACGTTGGGGGCAGATTGTGGAGGCCTTGAAAACTGGGTTAAGTTATTCTGGAGACTAGTGGCTCTCAACCGTGTTCAGCACTTGGATTCTCAGAGGTGCCATCAGGGTGAGCTAGGGCCCAGAAATCTGTGGTTGTAACAAGCACCCCACTCAGGGTGAGTCTGTGGCTGGTGGACGGGGGGAACGCTCCGGAAGCGCTGCTTGAAGGGAGGGGCTGTTGCATGTTTTAAGTGGGAGTGGGAGGACAGCAGCAGGGCAGGTTGGGAGAGAACAAAGGGGCAAGGGAACCTGAACAGCAGCTACTGTCTGCCCTTTTCTCCTGTGAGAAGGAGAAGGGTCTGCATATGAAGGAAATGTCTGGAGTACCGAGAAAAGGGCAGAACTGGGAAGCTGCCTGGCGTGGGGGTGGAGAGGGCAAGGGAGGGAACTCATTTACGACTCCATTGCCAATTCCATCATTCATTCATCAGGCATTTATTGAGCATCTACTTAGGTGCCAGGACCTAGGGACACAAAGATGAAAGCTTAGCCCCTGACCTTAAGGAGTTCACAGAAGATGGGATATATAAGCCAATAATTATAACCAGTGTAGCAAGAGCAATGTCAGATGTATGCCCTGGAGGCTGTGAGAGCCAGAGGACAGATTTGACCCTGCCAGGGCAGGTGGGGGGCTGGGGAGGGCTCTGTGGTGGGGGTGGTGTTTGAGGTGAGACTTAAGAATCCAATCAGATGAGGGCAGGAGTTCAGAACTCAAGCATGATTCAGACTTTTTGAGTTCAAATCTTGGCTGTGAAACCTTGAGCAAAGTAACTTCCCTGTGCTTCAGTATCTTCCCCTGTGAAATGGGAATCACTAACAATACCTACCTCTTAGTATTGCCAATGAACACATGTGAAGGTTTAAATTGGGGTCGGATGCAGTTAGCACTCAAATACTAACTGTTGCTACTAAATGGCCAGGGAGAGGGAAGCAGGGAAACCTGGGTAAATCAGATAAAGGCATGTTTCAGGCTGGGCAGTCCCCTGTTCTGACTCTCTGCTCCCAGACTGGGAGCTGCATGAGGGGAGGAATCTCCTTCATTTCTGCACCCTGTATATTGCCAAGGACAGGCTTTCGATGAGGCAAAGCTCTCCATGCATCTGTTGGATTGGATTGAATGATTCTAAAATGTGAAAGCCTGGGACTGGGAGGGCTGTGGGATGCAGGTATGGAGTCAACGTGGAGCCAGATCCTGAATTCCTTTGGAGAAGGCAGTGGGCGGTTACATTGCCACTAAGCAGAGCTGGTCACCCATAGTTGTCCATCCAAGCAAGGAATGAATTGCAGTCCTTCCCCCACCTGAAGCCCTTTTCCTTGAGGGGAGTTTTGGGGAAGCTGAGAACGGTGGTAGGAGGAGGTGGAGGGAAGACTGAAAAATATCGCACCTCCCCAAAGGGAAAAACTCACTGCCCATGTGACCACTGGAGAATGACAAACTAAGGAGGCGGTGATTCTTTCCAGAAGCAGGGAAGGGTTAAGTCTGCGGCAGGCAGGTTCTCTCTACTTGCTAATCACTGGTTCACACCATATTAATTACCCAGCCACAGAGGGGAGTGCACAGGAGTAAATTAGCTGGTGAGTTCAAAGGGGCCACTCCCCACATTCCTTAATTAAGAGAGCAGCTGGCAGCCAGTGCTGCGACTCCACTCCCTGGGGCCTTTCTCAGCTGCATCTGCTGCGTTGGTCGCCGAGGCAGGCATAGTGGCTCCATCTGCCATGTGGAAGAGCCTGCACCCACCATTAGCCCACCTTCACTTCGGGCTGGGGGTGAGGGAGCAGGTGTTGACCAAGGTCACATAAGCTGCCAGAACTCGACCATTAACCCTGAACCGCTTGATGTGGAGTTCCAGGGCAGGGTGGAATTTGGGTGAAGCTTTGTGCCTGCAGGCAGAATGGGGCCACACTTCTCCCAGGAGGAGAGGTGGAGAAGGGAAAGAAAGGTGGGGTGCCTGAGGAGCTGAGAGAGAAGGGGAGCCAGGCAGGAAAGGAGGCAGAGGCAAAGCAGCTGGAAGGAGCGGGCATTTAGCAGGCTTTTCGGGAGCCAAAGGTGGAAGCCAAAGAGGAAGGGTGTTACTAGGGAGTGGGGAGGCCTCCGGGCACTGCTTTGAGGGGGTGGTGTGGGATGGGGACTGAAAGGGGAAGGTAGGACCCCACCTAAGCTCTGTCTTTGTGTCTGCTTTCTGCAGGCACCATGCTACGAGGAGCCACAGACCAAGAGGCTGCCTGGGGCAGCGGAGCCTGTGTGCACCCCTCCCTGGCTAGCCAGCTTAGGCAGCAGTGCCATGACATGGCAGGAAGTCTGGTCTAGAGGGAGAAGACCCTGGAAGGAGCCTGTCCCTGTCACTCCTTAGAAACGCCCACTGTTGCTGAGCCTCTGGAGATGGGAAATGGATGCAAAATGGCCTTACTTCTCATGAGATGGCACTGGCACCGCTTTGAGCCTAAGTGCCTCCTTAACTTTTGTGCCTGAGGTGCCTCTCTTGTCTCACCCTGATCCTGGCCCTGCTGGGGAGAAGTAGAGGGAGCGGAGTCTTCGATGAACTGGAGGCATGGTGCACACAGCTGGAGAGGGAGAAACTGAGGAGAGAGGAGAGAGGAGAAAGTGAGTGGGATGGAACAGCTTGCAGGAGTCTGGATGGAAGGGATCTTTGGCTTACGTCTGTCTGATTTTGAGGCAAAGATACACCTTCCCAGAGATGTGAAGGAAGCCTGCATAAAACAGAAACAAGACCACACTGCGCTCTCTTGAGGTAGAGAGGGGGAAACTGGAAGCTCATGCAGGCATTCACTCACTCATCGAACACCTGGTTCCCATCTTGTGCACACTAATGCATCCAACGAACACTAAAAAGCATCGAGCATGTGTAAGCCTCATGGGGTCAAGAACTCAAGCTGATGGTCCCAGTAATCATAATACTCCTGAGAGGATCAGTCACAATAAGAATCTGTGCCTCATGTGGGAAAGAATTCCAGAACAAGTTCAACATGGGTTCTTCTTCCAAAGAACCTGAGAGAAGGGCCCCTCTGAGCAAAGGCACAGCAAGTGATGAATGCTGAAGGAGCAGACGTGCTGTTGGCTGCCGGTCCTGCCAATGGTAGCCTCTTCAGCAGTGCAGAGGGACATGTGAACAGGTGGCAGGACACAAAAGATCCCAGTACTGGAGGGAAAAGCCTGCGTCTTTCTCATCTTTACACCCTGTCAGTAGTCACTGTTATCACAGTCGATATGAAGATGAAGGACACAGAGCTATTTGGTGGATGCTTATTTAAATAAAGCCTTACTTCTTAGCCAAATCTAAGAGAACAACTCTGGAACTGAAAGAAATCCCAATGTGTTCAATCTTCCAGGTTTAGAGAAGGGCCATGTTTCATTGTTATTGCTTGTATCTAGATTGTGTATTCACATACAAAACAAGCACCGGTGTCTAATCACATCTTACACTGAAGCCGTCCAGTGAGTGGGTCAGATCAGTATAAACCAGCGCAAGACCTCAAATACCTGAGAGCGCCACCAGAGGGCAGCCACAAGGCTCCCAGATGGAGGTTTTTTCCTGCTCTCTCACTTAAGGAGTGGCTGCAGGTTGCCTCTCCACCCTCAACCCAGCTAGAGCTCTTTTCTCTCTTTTTACCCTGTAGGTAATGTGACCCCACAGAACCCAGGTCCCTAAGAGGAGGCACAGACAAGTCACTCTGGCTGAATAAGTGTTTGCATTTAGCTTTGACTTGAAGCGAGAAGCAATGTTTCACAGGGCAGACCCTTGAGACTGTTAGGAGGCTACTGGCTGGGAGTCCTATGGCTAGCATGGCCAGTGGAGCTGTGGCAGGCCAGGAGGGCCATGGAAAAGGGGAAGTAGAGAAGCAGCTCTCTGGTCTCCCCAGGGTACCCCTCCTCAGTGTCTGCAGGTCTGTCTCTAGAGAACGGTGGAAGTCCCCATTCTTTCTTGGAGATGGCCCAGCCCACCAGTGTCCTGCAGAGCAGAAGCAGGTTCCTGCTGTGACAACTGAGGACTGGAAATGGGGCTTTGGGACTCCATGGGCTGACATCAGGGGAAACCAGTGAATCTGGGCTGAAGGGCAGGGCCTCCTTTGAAATCTCTTCTTTATGTTATTTTTTGAGATTTTATTTTTCTTCAATTTTCTTAGTAATTGTTCATTTGGAAAAATCCTGGCTCATTCTTTTCTAAACAAAGGGAAAAGGATGTTTTCAGCCATGCAAATAGAGCTGGGTGGAGAGAAGAGGTATTCTAGGCAGAGAGCAAAGTGCCTGAGAGGCCAGGCCAATAGTGTGTGTGTGTGTGTGTGTCTGTGTGTGTGTGTGTCTGTGTGTCTGTGTGTAGGATAGGACTTCTCACCTATCTGTCTTGAAGGACCTGTTTTTCTTTTTTATTTCCAATTCATTGCAGGCCTATATTTTTGTAGAGACAATAGAATAAAACTACTAGAAAAATGAAATTAAGAAGACATACAAAATACAAGCCCTGATTTTTATGATTGTATTAAACAAACATAAAATTACTTTGTCAGGTTGCTCTAAAAGCTTCTAAACTCTTGCTTCAATTTTTCTACTTAACTTGTCATGGACTAGTAAAAATCACTTCACAGACTGGAACAAGGCTGTGGACCACACATTGAGTATTACTGGTGTGGGGCAGGGAAGGTAGAGAGATAGGAAAACTCAAGAAGGAGGTGGACTATGGGGACATCTGGAAGGGCTGGTTCCTCCCAAGTCTCCATCATCAGTTTTCCTTCATGAGCTGTCTTGTCTATGTTTTTACTTTTTACAAGGGGGCATTATTTTATAGAGGAAGTGGCAAGGCCTTGGTTTCTGCTGGTACTCCCTGACTGACCAGTGAGAACCTTGAGCTTCTAGATTACCTGGCTTGTGCTTCTCAGTCCTCCCAGGGGGGGTCTCTGATTATTGACAAATGGGAGGGGCCCTGGGGTATTCTGGACATGGACTGGACATCTATGAGAGAGAGGAAGAGGAGGATGAGGAAGAGAAAGATGAGGATGGGGAGGGGCTGAATGTACTCTGATGAAATTTATATCTTGTAGGTAGACCAGTGCTTTTTAAACTTTAAACTTTAATGGGTATATACATTGCCTGGAGATGTTATTGAGATGCAGGTTCTGATTCAGCAGGTCGGAGTTGAGTTTGGGCGTCTGCATTTCTAACGAGCTCCAAGGTGATGTCAACACAGCTGGTCCAGGGGAGATGCTAGATGCCTGTATTAGCTTCCACGGTGCCAGGAGATCCCTGATCACACTAACATCTCCTTCATCAGCCAGCTGGGTGGGGTCTGATGCAGTCCAGCATCTGTAAGCTGAACCTCACTTTCTCTGCTTCCAGAGCAGGGGCCTATAAAGCTGGAGCCAGGGCCTCATAGGAACAAGTACAACCAATCCTTTATTGACCACCCTCAGTCATCAAGGAGTAAGGACTCCTTGAACAAACCAAATCAAACTATCAGGTATCGCAAATCGTTGATACTGATGAACAATATGAAACCAATTGATAGACCTCTATTAACAAAAAACTAGATGCTACAACCATATACCTTTTTAAACAAGTAAGGGGTAACTGAGTTTTCTGATGTACTCCACACACCAGGGCTTTGGGCAAGCCTCAGTTCTGTCTTTGGTAAACTGGAAGGAATTTGAACAGGAATGGGGCTGTGTGGAAAGGCAGAGCTCTCAGTGCCTGTGAGGCTCTGGCTCTGGTGTCAGGATTCTATGACATTGTCTGGGCCAGGCGCTTTTCTGGCTGACCTTGGTCTTGCTGAACCTCTGAGAGGCTCCTCAGCCCTGCGGTCACTCATGGGCTCAGCAGCAGCTTGGAAGCTGGAAATGCATTCAGAGCTGCCCTGGGCTTAGCCCTCTGGGGTGTGGAGTGATGCTCTTCCTTTTGTTTTTTTTAGTTTGAGAGGTGGGGCGTATCCATTATATAAAACCCTTAATTAAAAAAATTTTTACTGTCGTATCATTTTTTCCTAAGAAGAACAAATTATTTGTTTAGTATTTCAAACACATGTAAGAAGGAAATGACAGGTTTCTTCCACCCGCATGGGGCTTTCACTGATAAGCCCACGGACAGTCCTGGCAGTACCACGGGCTGTTATTGTCACTGGACCACACTGTATTTAGCGCTCACGAGAAATAGCATGCAGGCAATAGTATCAACAGCTATAGGTAAATTTAAAAAACAAAGCAAAAGATAAAACAGAAACAAAACCAACTCTGTAAACTCCAGGTTCACCTGGACTGTAACTTCTCTTGTGACTTTCACAGGAAAGGACAACAGCAACAACCACCAGACCTCCAGGGTGTTTAAAAAAATCAAATGGTGCTGCACAGCCAGGCCCCGCTCAAGGATGCCAGTGCCATCTTGAACACACCACCATACAGTATAACCACCTTCAATCACTGGAATTGTGTCTTATGTAACCAACTAGCATGTGGCATTGCAACCTTACAATGATCATGTGGACACTGAACAGTGGTCAATGTTGTCTTAAAAAAACACCCGCCTCAAAGACCACGCAATCCTGAAAATCTCACCGCAGCATCTCTCAGACTGTAGTCGTCAATATCCCAAGAACTGACCTTTAAGAACAAAATAGAGAGAGATTCGAAATGTTTTCCTATTCCTCTGACAGAACAATGTTTCAGGGTAAACCTGGTGATATTTCCTGCTGGCATAACCACTCGACAACAGTGCCCCTTTCATTCATTTCTTTTCCCTCTCCACCAATTGGCATTTGGACTGAGAAAGGGGCCAGCAACGAGAAATAAGAGACAGTAAGGCAAAATTACAATGTGAGAAAGTGTATTTGGCTTTTTTTTCTTTTTAAAATAAGTGCATGCAAATACATCTAGAAGCATTTCTGACTTGCCAGGTGCTCTGAAAGGGCAGCAGATGCTCTTTCTTTTCAGGGTCAAGGTAAGCATATTCAAAGGGACTGAGGACCATCATAGAAGCACATGTGCACACACACGTACCAAGTCACGCATGAGTCACTTAATGACAGGGATGCATTCTGAGAAATGCGTTGTCAGGAAATTTCATCACTGTACAAACATCATAGTGTGTACTTACACGAAGCCAGATGGTATAGCCTATTACACACTTAGGTTATATGGTATAGCCTATTCTTTTCTTTTTTTTTTTTTTTCATTTTCTTTTTTTGGTATAGCCTATTGCTCCTAGGCTACAAACCTGAATATAGTAGGCAGCTATGATACAACGGTATTTTCATAGTTAACATATCTAAACGCAGAAAAGGTACAGTAAAAATACAATATTAAAGATGAAAAAAAAATATACCTGTATAGGACATTTACTGTGAATGGAGCTTGCAGGGCTGGGGTTGCTCTGGGTGAGTCAGTGAGTGAGTGGTGAGTGAACGTGAAGGCCTAGAACATTACTGTACACTACTGCAGGCTTTATCAACACTGTATGCTTAGACTACACTAAATTCATGAAAGTATTTTCTTCAGGTCAGGCGCAGTGGCTCATGGCTGTAATCCTAGTACTTTGGGAGGCTGAGGTGGGTGGATCACTTGAGGTCAGGGGTTCGAGACCAGCCTGGCCAACATAGCAAAACCCTGTATCTACCAAAAATACAAAAATTAGGAGGGTGTGGTGGTGCATGCCTGTAATCCCAGCTACTCGGGAGGCTGTGGCAGGAGAATCACTTGAACCCAGGAGGCAAAGGTTGCAGTGACCTGAGATGGCACCATTGCAAATAGTAAATACATAAACCAGTAACATAGTTGTTTGTTATCATTATCAAGTATAGTGTACTGTACATAATTGTATGTGCTATATTTCTATATAACTAGCAGCGCTGTAGCTTATTGTACCAGCATCACCACAAACGTGTGAGAAATGCATTGTATTATGATGTTAAGGCAGCTATGATATCACTAGGCAGTAGGAAGTTTTCAACTCCATTATAATCTTCTGGGACCGCTGTTGTGTATGCAGTCTATCACTGACTGAAATGCTGTTATGTGGCATATAACTATTTCATATATATATATATATATTTTTTTCTATTTAAATTTTTTTTTTAAATTTTTAAACTTTTTTTGTTAAAAACGAAGACATAAATAAACACACACATTAACCTAGGTCTACATAGGGTCCGGATCATCAATATTACTGTCTTCCACCACATCATCTTGTCTCACTGGAAGGTCTTCGGGGACAACAACACACATGGAGCTGTCATCTCCTATGATAACAAGGCCTCCTTCTGGATACTTCCTGAAGGTTGAGATATATATATATCGGGGGGAAGTAACATGCTTGTATGGAAATAAAATTTCTGTGGCTTCTGTGTCCAGTGTCACTGACTGACCCTAAGTGTGTGTGTTGGTGGGGGTATCTCCCCTCCCATTCCATTGGTTGGTCTTCTGCTAAGAGGAGAACCCAGGGTTCAGGTGCTCCTGACCAGGACAAGGGCTCAGGGGCTCTGTGATGCTGGGTTTGGGAATTGAAGGAGCCCCAGAAAGAGTCGAGGAGCCTGCTGTCCCCCTGAGGAGCACTGGCGACTGGGGGTGGGCGTGTGTTGATAGGAGAACACCGTCACTAGCAGAGAACTTCCTCACAGTCGCCAAGGGATTCTTGGAGGGTGTTTCTTATATTCACCTCCTTGGATGAAACCTCACTGGGCTGCAGGCATCTCACCTCTGCATAGATGATAGAACTGTCCTGTGGAAGAGTTGGCTTAGGATGAGGAAGCAGATGTAAGACAGAGGGTGAGAAAGGAGCAGGGATCCCAGCTCACCTTTCTCTCCGCGGCAAACTCAGCAGGCCTGGCTGTGGGGAAAGAGTGAGTTCAGGTCAGGTCTCTGTGCTTCACAGCAAATACATCTCCTTCCCACCCCTCCTGGCTGGTTGTCTTCCTCTAGAGAGCCAGGGAAGCCAGCGGGGGAAATTCCTTTCACTCCTCCTCAATCTGGAATGGGGAGACCTGGGTTCTAGTTCCAGTTGGACTACACACCAGCTGTGTGACCTCAGGTCCTGGGGGAACTGCCCTTCAGTTAAGAGACTCTTTGATTGTTCATTTCCCCTACTGCCATTTATGGGAAGGAGCAGAAACCCTATGCCAATTCAAACCCATTTTTGCAGACTAGGAATTGAACTAGCAGAGCAGATAAGACATTAAAACGACAGCAACAACAAAACTCCCTGTTTTGAACATCCATTACATGTAGACAATTTTTAAGGTTTGTTTCTAGAACCTAGGTTCCATTCCTAACAACTTATAGTAATCCTGCAAAGCAGGCATTGTCTCCCCTTTATAGATTAGGCTCAGAGAGGACACCTGACTTGCCAAGTCCACAGTAAGTAAGTACATAGAGTCAGGTTTCAAACTCAGTTCTGAGACTCAGAAACCCAAACTCTTCCCATGATGCCACGTGGCCTATTTCTCTGTTAAAGGACCAGCCTTTCCCCCACCTCTGCCACCTGACTCTGATAGCTGTGGCTGGAGCTCATAGTCTTCTTGACTCCATCTTATAGTGAGGGCTGTCCTGCTTAGACTTAAAGACTCTGGAGCAAAGGAAGATTACATCATTTTTTCTCTCTTTTCTTTGTCCTTCACATTGCTCAGGAAAGGGCAAAAAACTCCCTGCAGTTATCACGGTAACAGTGGTGGAGGAGATGGTGTTGAGAATGGTGAATGTAGTGGTCATGGTGGTGTCTGTGGTGAGCGTGGTAGTGGAGGAGATAGGTGGTGGTGGTCATGGTAGCATTGATGATGGTGTGAAGGTGAAGGTGGTAGTGAAAGAGGAGATGGTGGTGACAATAATGGAGATAAATACAATGGTCTTGGTGATAGTGGTGGTGGTCACAGTAATGATAAAAGTGGTAATGACAGTGGTAGTGATACTTTCATTGTAGGTCCAAAACTTCTGTTCGTAAAAGTACCACGTTTGGTCTGAGATCACTCACCTTCACTCCTCTTTGAGGTTCTATGCACCACAGAGTAGACAACACCTTCATCTTTCTCTTTCTGGTGATGCACTGAAAGAAGGAATGAGGCTTAAATAGGATCCACCTGACTCTACCACCTCATGCCATAAGTGTCCTGAAGACATGGAGAGAAGCCCATCAGGGGCTCTGTTATGGTGATAAGTGGCAATGGGGGTTGGTCACTAATGTGGGGATAGCTATCATGGCAAGAGGAGTCAGGCCCCCTTAGCACTTTTTTTTTTTTTTTTTTTTTTTTTTTTTTTTTGCAGCTTCCCTAGCCCTGACACTGTTTAACCCAGAGGTTGACAAACTTTTTCTGTAAAAAAGGTAGTACATATTTTTGGCTTTGTGACCTGTATAATCTCTGTCACAACTATTCAACTCTGTAATATGAAAGCCCTCAAACAAAATAAACAAATGAGCATGTCTGTGTTACAGTAAAACTTTATCTACAAAAACAGGCAGTGTGCTGGGTTTGGCCCATGGGTCATAGGTTTGCCAACCCTTGGTCCAAACCTTCCCTGCCCCGTCTCCTGCAGCCCTGGCTCCCTTCCCACCTCCCTCTCCCACCACCAACTCCATAGCACTCTCTCCTCATGCCCTTTCTAGAAGCTGTTTGTTTTCCTTCCCCAGATGCCTCCAATTCCTGAGACACAGGGCTCAGGAAAGCTCCCTTCTTACTTCCCTTAAGAAGTTCTTCTTGGCCCACATGGGCAGACCACCGTCCTGCTGGAAGTCCTTACCATTGGCATATAGTGGGCACTGCTCTCCACCTGGAGCTGGGGGAGGTAGCTGGGATGGAAGGGGCCCTAGGAGATACAAAGGCATGATTCACTGGGTGTCCCTTAGAGGGCAGGTGGGACAGGGGACAGGAAAGCTGTGAACAAGAATGACAGGGAGGCCACTGAAGGTTTGAGGCCAGTTTGATTAGGAGGGCTAATTCACAGGTCTGGACATGGTTGATTTTTCTGGGATGTTTCCTTTGAAAAAATACCCTAGATGGCTCCATGGGAATCATAAACTAGGAGAAGGTAAGGTGAGCAAGAATGGATCACATTTTTGCTCTCCTCCTAGGAGAGGGCCTAGGCTTACCAGTCAAGCTGCTTTTCAGAAGGAAGAAAAGCTAATAACTTTGACCATACACTATATGCCAGACATGGGGCCAGGCAATCCAAATAAAATATAATCTTCCTAGTAAAGCACCTAACCAGTGACCAGCACATAGTTGGATTTCAAAAACACCTCTCTTCCTAATTCTTTGGTATCTAATATTTTCCACAACCATCTTGCAAAGGTTGATATTTTTATCTCCATTTCATAGATGAGGTGACGAGTGCTGGGAGAGGTGACTTATATAAGGTCACAGTAAGTGGTGGAGACAGAATCTCAATCCAGGTTTGTATGCCTTTTCTCCACTAGCACACTGCCTCTGGAACAGCAGGTGCTTCCAGATCTTTAAAGGTAACTCTTGGGATAGGAATTGGGTCACATGTAGATTTTAGAACACTTGGGTCATGCCTGGTGCCCAAGAAATACTCATTACACTAACAGCTAGAAAGCATCAGAATCAGCGGGTAGGATATGTGGAAATGGCTTCTCCTGTAAAATCAAGAGGGGACTTATGGAGACTTAGACAGATCCCCAGCGATTAAGCATTTTCCAGTGCTCATTTGTCAGGGCTAAGAAATGAGCCTCAGTTTCTGAGTCTCCATTCAATGAAGAGTTCCATGAGTTTGATAGAACTTTATTTTATGGGATGTGTGACAACAGGTAGTAAAAGGAATGCTTTTAAACAAGCACAGCAGAACCTGTACATGCAGGTGAGTGCTACTTTGAAGTGGACCCCTTGCATGACCATATCCTTGTTCCAGTAACACCATCATTGGTCAAATGTTCTAAAAATTGACTTTGGACATTACATCTGTTGACTGTGTTTGGTGGTGGCATATTTCTCTTTGTTAAAGAACAGCTATGATATTTGGAAATGGTTGTGAGTCTCCCAGAGCTGGATTTGGAGAATAAGGCTATTGATCTGGCTGTTTTTCCTGCGTAGCTATGGAATTGGTCCTGAAAGTGACTTTCTGAGCAATATTCTAGAGAATATTTTGTGCGCCTGAGATTCTGACATATTAAGATCACCACCAGCAGTCCTGTTTGCATGAGAGACAGGCTCCTTAGTAAAATGAAGCCTACCTGCTCCAAGGTTGGCAGTGGGTATGGTGGTGATGGTCTATAACCTCTACATCAAGAGGATGCTCTTTTGTTCTCTGTGAAAGGCATCTTCTTCTTGAGGATCTTTCAATAGTGGCCACTGTTTCACCATCTTGTTTGGGGCTGGGGAGGGAGGCAGTTGTGCTACATTACTCTGCCATTACTCTGCCTTTAATGCTTTGACTCAGAGGTGAGTGGACAGAAACAGAAACACCTGTATTACTGAGGCCAGGCTAGGCCATTTGGAGGAGACTTCATTAGACACAATGACAGTAGAACTCACAGATCTTTGGTTTGTGGTTCCCTACTTCAGCTGTCTCCCCAATAGCTCTGGGTCTCCTCTCCTTTTCCCCCACTAAGAAGGGATACTTAAAGCAACTCTAGCCTGTAGTGAATCCAAACTCAAGACTAGTGAGAAGGGTGGAGATGGGAAGTTATATGGACAAAGACTATAAATTCAAAAGGGGAGAGGAAGTTGAAGTCTGGTCCAAGCCCTAACTAGGTGCCTGGTGAGGCAGGGTATTGGGACTAGGGCTGGGGAAAGACCCTTTCAGGTACCCTGGTGGATGCAGGAAGGAATGCTTTGAACGTATGACTGGGTGGTCTTCCTTAATTAGCAGGATGGCCTAGCTCCTGGAAAACTCGTCCCAAATTTCTCAACAGAGGGAGCTGCAAGCTTAAATAAGTACATCTGTCTTTGGAGGTCTATGAGAGCAATCACTTTTGTCCCAGACAAGCAGAAAGTAAAAACATTGCCCCTGCAGAGGATGAAGTGGTGTTGAGTTGAACCTCTGTAGGCAGATTTGAAGCCCTAGGAATGAACCAACACCAGATAGCTTTGGCACTGGTAGCCATTCCTTACATGTGGCCTGAGTTGAGCAAAGGTTAGAGTTGGAATAAACGTGTGGCCACCCAAACTAATTGCTTTGAAAGCCAACATTCATTCTTATGATCACGACTGAGACAGGAAGAAGAAGAAAGTCTGGAATATCAAAATAAATAGATAACCTGAAATGTCGTTTATCTGATTGTTTTCCTCTACATCAGAATTTTAACCTACCTTTTTATTTTCAGTGACTTTGATTAGAAGCATTAGAGAATGCACAGAGGAGAAAGGGCAGCCTGGGAACCTGCTGGGGCGATCTGCTTAGATTAGAATGAGAATTTACTGAGCACCCACTATGTGCCAGTCTAAGCAGATCAGAGCTCTGCTTAGCAGAGCTCAATGAGAGAGAAAGGAGGAGGTCTTTTTTTTTTTTTTTTTTTTGTCATATTCCTAGCCACAGATTGTCTTTCAAATGTAAAGGATACTGACATACATCACGTTTGGCTTGTAATAGTTCCTTGGTTTATGTTCTATTCATGCCTGAGTGTGCAGTTGTGTGTTTGTGTGCATCTCTGGATGACTGTGAGCGTGTGAGCAAGTGCATGTGTGTATACGTCTTGGAAGCATTAACTGTCCTTCCATGTGCCCCTTTGTGTGACACAGGAAGAGAAGTCCCCCCTCCCACGCCACACCCAGGAGAAGAGAGTGGCTGGCCCTGTCAGATTCTGGCTTTCCAAAGGCTGGGCAGGGCCTCGCACAGGGATTCAGAAGCTAAGAAAGCCAAGAAGAGTTACTGACCAGCTTTTCTCCAGGGTCTCAAATAAACCAGAAGTGCAGCAGCAATGACCATCATGCCAAGCAGGCTCGCAGGCAGCCAAGGAACCAGCCAGTTGCTGCTGGTGGGAGTGGACAAGACTTGAGAACCTGGGAACGGGGAGAAGAAGCTGGCCATGAGCACTGAGGATAAAATTCAGAAATGCATTTCAGCCTGGCATGGAAGAGGCAGAATGACTGGTATTAGAGGAAGCATCTAGCCTGCGGGAGCCTCGTAGATGGGCATGAAGGATGGCTCAGGGGATGGCAGCAAGGATGATGGTGACACCATGAGTGACCAGGTGACTGCTCCCCCCATAATGCTCCCCACTCCATGGACTTCAATATTTCTCTGCCAGGCTCAGTGGACAGATGGACCAATTAAGGTCCGTGCTCGGTCATGCAGTGGCTGCCATGGGTCCAGCACTGTGCCAGGCGTGGTGGGAGGTACACAGAGGGTGAGATCTGACCCCCGTCAGCTTGCTGGGGCTCAAAGCTTTGTTGGAGGACAAAACGCACCCTTCAGGGAGAGCTTCTTGGGCTCACTCCTCTCTCTGGAGACACCGTTCTCAGCCTCGCAGGAGTAGTTCCCAGCATCCTGCTCTGACTTCACTGGGAAGAGGAGGGAGGCGTTTCCACCACAGGGAGCTGAGTGGTTCCCCACAATCTTCTCATCAAGGTAGAACAAGTACAGGACTGGAGGGGAGCCCCTCTGGGCCTCACAGAGGAGCTGCACCATGTCCCCCACAGCAGGGTCAGTGGGTCCGTGGTGCAGAGTGAGCACAGGACGGGACACAGGAGCTGGGATGCACGTGGGATGGGAGGCTCAGCCTGACCACCCAGGACCCTGGCTCCCTCCTCTCCTGGGGACCTTTCCCCAACTCCTTTCTCCCCAGGGGATCCCATTGCCTGATGCCCAGGTCCCTGGGGGTGTCTCCACTCTCTCGCACACTTACCCTGCACTCTGACCTCCAGCTGGGGGCTCTGCTTCTGGACCTGGCCACCCTCGGTGGCCACCTCACACCAGTAAAGCCCAGAGTCTCCCTCCTTGACTCCTGGGATGCAGAGTTCTGGGTGAGGGCCCCTGTCCTGCAAGGTGTGGCTGTCCTTGTAGAAGGAGAAAAGGAGCCTCAAGGCTGACCTCAGGGGATGCAGCTTTGTCTGACATCTCAGGGTCACCAGGCTACCCTCTCGGGGCTCAGGAGAGGGGGCAGCACTCAGCACAGGAGGTGGGAACAGCTCTGGGGAGATGCAGGCCCAGGGCTCAGGAGGGGAGTCCCGGATGATGAAGCCCCAGGAGGCTGAGGCCTGAGCTTCTACTCATCCCGGGCTGCAGCCTGGGGACACCGATGGGAGGCAGTTTGATCCCCAGGACCTGTCCTCTTGTCCTCATCTACAAGCTCTGAAATGACTTCCACACAGCCAGGTCCTTCTGGAATCTTAGAAGTCAGAGGCAGAGGGGCCCTTCGAGGTCCTCTAGTCCACAGAGGGGAAGGGTGAACCTGGACTGGTCCAGGCTCTTCCCAGTGCCCCCGTTCCAGGAATCTCCCCACTCCTTCCCCTGGCTCCATATGTGCCCCATGGTGGGGAGAGGGGGGTATTGAGACAACATCTTGGGAAACCTCGGGGCCCCATTCATGGGCCCAGCACGAGGGGCAGCCAGAGACAGGGGTCCTGTCCAGAGAGCTACTGGCCTCTAGAGACGGGATCCTTGAGTGGCACCTCCTGCCCCACAAACTCCCAAGCTGGTGACTTACCTTGGACTTGAACCATGGTAGTCTCTGAAGTTAGTGTGAATGTCTGTGGAATATACCACACCTGCCCAGTGCAGCTGTACTGGCCACGGCTCTGCACTGTTGCTGCCCCCATGGACAGAGTCTGGTTCTCCTTAGAGAAATGAAGGAATTTTCCATCTCTGTAGAACTTCACCTGAGACAGTGGTGTATTCTTCCACCCCTGACATTGCAGAGTCAGGGCATCTCCTTCAAACACAGGGTTTGGCCAGGCTTGGAGGTACAGCCAGGCTGCGAGACAGAGGAACAGGGCAGCCCTGGAGTTGCAGGTCCCATCGGTCACTTCTCTCTCTCTGTCCCCCAGCCTAAGGCCTCCCTCTGGGGATGGAGGCCCTTGGATGGCACCAGTGCAGTGTCACTGTCTTCAGTCTTTCATGCCGACCAGAGAAGGGCAGGACCTGGACTTCCTTTACTCCTTCTCCTTCCTTTCCTTCTTCTCTCCTTCCTCTTCCCTCTTTCTCTTTATTCCTTTCTCTTCCCCTGCCCTTCTCTCCTCTCCCTGTGTCTTCTCTCTGGCTTTCCTCCCACCCCCACCCTCCTTGTCTTCCTTTATATTGCACTTTCCTGTCTGCCTTGCCAAGCTTGGCTTAATTGCATTCATTCTGTTCATTGTCTTGCCTCATTCCTCCTGATTCAATTCCCTCCAGCCTAGATTGGCTTCTCCTCCTCTGGCTACCTAATGTGACACTTTCTGCAACCTTCACTTCTGTTAATAGCAGCATCTGTGTTCACCAGAAAGCAGTTGGTGGGGAGTGTTGGAGGTGCCACAGCCTGAGCTCTCTCCCTCCTGCCTTCCTCATTGGGCTTCTCCAGGCCCAGCCTCCATCTCTACCTCAGCAGGGCATTTCATCTTCCACCACTCTCATGGAAGGGATTTGTTCTCTCTGTCTCTATTCCTAAAATGTATTCTGTGCCCTGATGTGAGCAGGAGAAGAGCTCCCAGGGATCCACTATCACCTGCAGGGCAGCAGCATCATTGCCTGCAGGGCAGGCTGAGCCTGTCCTCAGTCTGTATCTGTCCCCAGGCTGTATCATATCTTTGATAAGCCAGACACCCCCATTCCCAGACAGCCTTCTGAGCCATCCTGATGGCTTGAGACTAATGAAGAGTAACTGTTAGGGAGCCTCAGCATATCCTGCTCTTGTCTAGATCTTGTGGATCCTTAGGACCCACTCTCCTCACCCTGGAAGAAATGATGCTTACCGCATTACTGAATGGCAAGCCTTGCTTCCACTACTGCTTTTCCTAACAGCACTAAGTATTGGTTTGAAGTATCTCCCCCTGGAATCACAGGGTATGTCCTTGGAGGTCAAGATTTCATAGATCAGAATTTTTTCCTGTTTGACAGAAAGCTCCATGGAGGTCAGTGTCACTGAATGGGCTGGAGGGAAGGGGATCTGAGGAAGGAAGGAAGGAAGGCTGATCAGCAGACAAATGTACCTGCTTCTCTGAACATAAAAGGAAGGAAGGGAGTCCCAGTCTTGTTGAGTTGAGAATATAAGAGCTCCAGAACCACATGGAGAGAAGACAGAGGCCATAGCCACTTTTAAGGGTATAGGATAGAGGCCTAGAGCCCCACTGCTGAGGCTTGGGTCACCTTGGGACTACCCTCAGCCTTAGACTAGTGGAGTTCCAGGTTCCTCCTTTTCCTGGGAACTGGCCAAGACACCTGAGGAAGGGGCCTCGTCTGGTGCTGCTCTGCAGATGTTTCTGGGGGATCCCATGGCACTGTCCTGTTCCCATCCAGTAAGTTGTGGCCCATAGACATACTTTGAATTAGAAGAGAAATGGACACAACTTACCAGTTTTCCCAACACAGGGAACTGCAAGATAACAAAGTAACATAATTAGGTTAAGTAGCAAAAAGAGCTTTCTGACAAGGAGGTCTGTCACTTCAGCAATTGGGACTTACACCCATTCAACCAACCACCCAGCCACCAAACCGCCCATCCACCCATCCACCCAACCATCCAACCATCCAACCATCCAACCATCCAACCACATAGCCACTCAACCGCCAAGCAACCCAGCCATCAGCCATCCAACCATCCAACTACACAGCCACCCAACCACCCGGCCACCCAGCCATCCCATCATCCAACAACCCAACCATCCAACTGTTCAACCATCCAACCACCCATCCACCAAACCGCCCATCCACCCATCCACCCAACCATCCAACCATCCAGTCACCCAGCCATCCTATCATCCAACAACCCAATCATCCAACTATTCAACCACCCAACCACCCAGCCACCAAACCACCCATCCACCCATCCACCCAACCATCCAACCATCCAGCCACCCAGCCATCCCATCATCCAACAACCCAACCATCCAACTATTCAACCACCCAACCACCCAGCCACCAAACCACCCATCCACCCAACCATCCAACCATCCAGCCACATAGCCACTCAACCACCAAGCAACCCAGCCATCAGACATCCAACCATCCAACTACACAGCCACCCAACCACCCAGCCACCCAGCCATCCCATCATCCAACAACCCAACCATTCAATTATTCAACCACCCAACCAGTCAGCCACTTGACTACTCAATGTTTATGGTGGACCTACTCCCTAGAACTCTTTGCTCTATCTCAGTTCAAATATTGCCTTCTCAAACACGTCTTCCCTGAGACTCCAATCAGAAGAATTTTCCCCAGTCACTAAAACAATGCCCCATTGTATTATCATCAAAGCACTTATCACTATTTGAATTTATCTTATTCATTAAATTGCTTACATATTATCACCTGTCTGTCTGTCTAGAATGTAAGCTCCACATTAGTAGGGACTCTGACTATCTTACTCATTGCTATATTTTCTATGCCTAGGACCTGTGCCTGGAACACAGTCTGTGTTCAGTAAGCATCTGCTGAATAAATGCACGAATGCTTTCCTTTGCATCCAGTTGTATGAGGTGGGAAGCAAAAAGTAGAAAACACAGGACTAGACTCTTGCACAAATGTGCCAGAGAACCCATATAGCAAGGGCAGGGCCTGATTCTTGTGGTCCCATCTGTCCACAGAACTCTGGTGAAAAGGGTACAGAAGTGATCAGACTGAGGAGGCCAAGTCCCCTGAAAGAGTAATCATCAAAGGATGTGAGACATTGTCAGGCAGCACAGATGAATAAGAGAACTACAAATAAACTGGATGCATCCCACATCATGCTTGCATCTTGGATGTGCTGCATTCATCCTTTTAAATGAGTGGTGTGAGAATAGGTAACCTGGGAAGAGAGGCCAACTCACAAAATGATGACAGATATGGTTAGGTAGGTTTGAATAACCCAAGTAATGGAAGACTCGAAATTGAAGGTCACAGCTGGATATGAAGCAGTGAAGAATCTTCCGGACTTTGGGGCAAGGTGTGAAACAATGAATGAATGTAGGGCTGAGTGCAGTCAGTCCAGCCAATCCTCATACATTTATTTGTGTCCTTCATTGCTGACATGTCCTAGGTATTTTGCATAACACCAACAAAATGCAAGAATGGCCTTGGGAGGGCTGGGTGAAAACCCTCTAAGAGCAGATGTTTGGCTCTGTCACATGGTGTCATCTTTGTTTTCTACAATACTTTGGACACAGATGGAATCTTTCAGCTCTATTCTCTATTCAGCTCAGGATCAGCTCAGTCATAAGTTCTCAAGAGTGTGCAGAACAATGAGTCTCTTCCTCATCATCCCTCCAGTTCCACCCCAACCCCCATCTATGAGCTTGGTGCAGTGGAAAGCATGCAGGATTTGGAATCAGATGACCTGGACTTAAGTCATGAATGTGACTCTTTCTGTATGACCTTGAACAAGTTGTCTAAATTCCAAGAGCCTTCAATATCTCGTTCTGTCATATCACATAATAGAAATGATAATAGTCATTTTTTTTTTCTTACAGTGTAGTTGTGAAGGTTATATTGACCCACTGCCTGGGAAAGTGGTTACTACACTAACTGAAAGCAGAAAGGCGGCCTGACCTCAGAGTGATAGAGACCTTACTCTGTAATAATGTCTTCCTTCCCTTCCCCTCCTCACTGGAAAACAATTTTGCAGCTACAAAGTGCTAAACAAGCAGGGTTGAGGCCACTGAAGCCAAAAACAAGACAGAAGGCACCCAGGAAGCATAGATGCACTTAAAATGAGCTCATGCCCCCAAATCCCGATGACTTGCTGCCCATGGTACTGCAAGATCTTGGAGGTGGGATTACAAACTTGCTTTCTGCAATCAAAACAGCAGCCAACTGGGAACATACACAGTGGGTGACACCTGCTCACAGCAGTTTCTGCAATGAGGGCCCAGGGACCTCCATCAGCCATATAGGCCAAAGATGAGGTGACAGTATAATGAAGTGGCCGAGAGCTACTGTCAAACCAAGTTCCATAATAGAGTTCCAAAAAATGAAGGCAGCAGCCCCTGCCAACTCTAGGAGCAGGATAATTTCCTCTTAGAGTTTCTGAGGGATCGGGAGATATTTATCTGGGAAAGATACAACAGAGGAGAGACACAAAATACTTAGTGGGCTAAGCTTAAAAGAAGGGAGCGACTTATTCTGAGTTACTTTATAGGACAGAAATGGAGACTAGAGGGATCAGGGAGGCAGATTTCAGCTCACCATGAAGAACTCTGTCACCACTGAGCTCTACCACTGTGGAACAGGGTGCTGTGCCAAGCCGCAGCAGTCACATTGCTGGGAGCACTGTGTGGGACCCCATGACACCTCCTATGGACGCTGTGGGAGTATGCAGGGAGCAGGCTCCAGTGGTAGGAGGGAAGTTGGCTAATGTTCAGCTCAGAAGAAAATTAAGCTTAATTTCCCAAACTTTAAGTACATATTTCACGTTCAGCCAGGTCCCAGCATGCTCAATGTCAGGGTTCCTTTCCTGCTGGAGTCCTGACAGCCAATAATAGTAATAGCCACCAATTTATTATGACCATACCCTGCTCTTGAGAGAGGAAATAGCAGCTCTACATGATACATGTTTCTACACACCCAGCCGCAGGGCCTGTGATTTAGGCTGTTTTTCTGGGGTCCCTGAGCATCACATGGGACCAAATGTGCTGGTGCTGGGTTCTCCATTACACTGTGCACCAGTCAGCCCGTCACTGACTCCCTTCCTCTCCTCCTTTGCTGTCTGTCATCCTTGTCCTGGGTTCCAAGCTGGAACACTCTCAGACTGTATCTAGACAACTCCAAGGACTGTTCCTTTTACAAGGTAGTGCCATTTGCTCCTGTGAGTCTTGTGCCTGGAGTATATCCAGGCACTGACTCAGTGTGAGCATTAGACCTTTCCATTTGTCCAAATGGCCATTCATAAAACACACAGAGTAACACGCTACGCTGGAGAAGGAACATTGAGTGGAACAGGCATTTTCCTCACAGGGTCAAATTCTCACAAACTCTGTCCAGGAAGAGGTTATATTTAGGAACAGTTTTGCTTTTCCAGTTCAATGAAAACAAACAGCAAACAAGCTATTGGGACCAAGAATTAAAAAGTAGGTCCACTTGGAAACTGTAAAGTGAAACAAAATATATGCACAAATTATTTCTTTTAGGTATAAGGGGGGTGATACTGGCTGAGACTGAGCTGGGTCTGGGGGAGCCCAGTCACCCTCCTCGTGCAATCCTCCACCCTTAGACCAGCTCCCTCAGTTACAAGTAACCTGCATGAGGAGGAATGGAGAGAAGAGAGAGAGGCATGGATCAGATAATGAAGCTGATTCTTCAGACCAGCCCCATGGGTCTGAAACAGCCTCCAACAGAGAGAAGATGTATGCGGAAGAGAGACGGTCAATTTGAAAAGGGCTTTGGTTACTCAGGGCACAGGCCTTTCAACCAGGTGAGAGGTCTGATCATTGTTAAGTGGTTCTAAGAAAATGCTGAGGCTCCATAAAAATATGTCACCCTGTAAAATTCCACCTCCCATTGCCGAGCAAAACGTCTGGGACTGTTATCCCTCATTTCCCTGACTCCTGCCGTGTTGCCCCCAGCGGCCTCTTTCCCTTCTGTAACTTCAATTTCCTTTTGAGACAACTATTATTAGTATTTTAACCTGATATCACAAGGTAGAAATGTCATTGGGAAGTTAGGTGACCTTGTAATGTGATTTTCTGCCTCCCTAATTTATCTCTGACATATCAAAGGGCTGCCCTGCCAAGGACCCAGGACAATGGGATAGGAAACACTGAGGAGTTTCTCCTACCCCAGTGCCCATCTCTCCCAAGCATGCCCAGGTACACGCACCTGTCTTGAGCTCCGGCCACAAACCCACTGGAATTGGAAAAGGTGTCTCAGGGATGACTTATGGTCCTTAGTGCTCTAGGAGGGGATGCCCAAGCTGGTTGACTTACCAAAGAGCAGCACAGCCATCCAGAGCAGCATGGGGCCTGTCCTGGCACAGAGGAGGGAACACAGGTCAGAAACAGGCTGGGCGAAGCTGACAGAGAGCAGCCAGGCCTCAGGATCGAAGGTGGGTGAGTGACCTAAGCTGGGTAGTGCTATAGCTTGATAGTTGAAATAGGAAGTGGGAAAGAAACTTACAAAGCTCTAATTGGTATTTCTTCTTTGGCTGAAGAAGTATTACATGAATTAATTTGCTTGAACACTAAACATGAAGGAGTCAGTATGTCACTAATAAATCCCTGACATTTTCTGTGGCTTCAACAAGCCTATGCCAGGGAACTAGGATGGAACATGGTTACGGGACATCTCCACTAGAAAGATCCAGAGACGGCCCGAATTTGCTTGTCCTCAGCATCATTCAGCCTGGGAGGCAGCGCAGCACTGGAAAACTAAGATCACCCACCCCTTGACTCCCAAGCGACCTCCCAGCTTCCGAGGCACTCCTATCTCCAGCAGTAAATGTTTGTGGACGCTGCAGTGAGATGGAGAAGTGGAGCCCTGAGGACAGTTCACAGGATCCTCAGTTCAAGAAGGAATCAAGCATCGATGAGTATGGAGTAGAACACAGATGGAGCTTCGGAATCTGAGGCTTTTGAGACTGTCAGGTATTATTTTGAGAAGAACTCTTCCTTAAAAGACACCATTAAGAAAGGGAATAGACGAGTTGTGGTGTGATGAGATAGTTTAAATACATGCAGCTGACAAAGGGCCCACATAAGAAATATAAGAATTTCTGCAAGTCAATAAGAAAAAGACAGACAAATACTAGAAAAATGGGCAAAAATAATTGGATAGGTACTTCACAGAAGCAGATATCCATGTGTCAAATCAACATAGCACAAGGAGCTTGATATCATAAATCACTGGGGGAACGCAAATTTAAACCACAGTAAGATACCACTACACCTTCCGTAAGAATAAGGGAGTGATACCGGCTGAGACTGAGCTGGGTCTGGGGGAGCCCAGTGACCTGCCCCATGCAATCCTCTCCTGAGTATTGGTGAGGATGTGAAGAAACTAGAACTCTTGTACACCACCAGTGGGAATATAAATGGTACAGTCACTAGAAAATGGCTTGGCAGAATCTACCAAAACTAAACACAAGGATCCCTGATGGTTCAGCATTTTCACTCTTGGGTAGATGTTGAACAGAAATGTATACATACAGGCATCAAAAAACATGCACACGAGTGCTCATAGCAGCATCATTTGTAATAGATACAAACTGGAAATTATTCAATGTTCCCTCAACAGAGAAAGAGGTCCCACATTCCCATCTCCTCTGTGGACAGAACATGAGAGTTTGTGGTGAAACACGGAGTCAGGCAAAATACTAGGAAGCATTTTCTTTCTTTCTTTCCTTCTTTCTTTCTTTCTTTCTTTCTTTCTTTCTTTCTTTCTTTCTTTCTTTCTTTCTTTCTTTCTTTCTCTCTCTCTCTCTCTCTCTCCTTTCTTTCTCTTTCTCTCTCTCTCTCTCTCTCTCTCTTTCTTTCTCTTTATTATTTAGAAGGAGTCTCGCTCTGTTGCCCAGGCTGGAGTGTAATCTTGGCTCACTGCAACCTCCGCCTCCCGGGTTCAAGTGATTTTCCTGCCTCTGCCTCCCAAGTAGCTGAGATTACAGGCATGAGCCACCACGCCCGGCTAAGCATTTTCTTATGGTAAAGTTATTCCTGGAAATCTTTAAGTGAGAAGTTCTACACGTGGAATTTGATGGAATTTGATGTGCTTATTGCTGAGGCCAGGGATGGAGAGAGAGAATTTTCTAAGTTTTCTTGACCTAGATTATCTGATTCAGTGGAAGTGGGAAACTAATTTGACACTGCCAGGCATTTTTTTTTTTTTTTTTTTTTGGTGACTCAGTTGTTTAGGAAAGAGGTAAAAGTAGTGAGGAAGTAAAGTAGGAAGTAAATCTCTTGTCCACTCACCTAAAGATGGCAACATTCATACATTTTCCTCTATCGTTCTCTTTCCAACAGATCTCCTGAGTTGTCTCCAGCTTCGTTCAGCTGCAGGTCCTGTGGTTGTGTGGAGGCCCTGCAGGGCAGCAGCTGGGGCAAGAGAGAGAGGGGATAACCGCAAGTGGTCTAGCTTGCAAACACCTACGGTGGTTTGCACACAGAATGGTTGACGCCTCTGCCCTGGCAACTTCTGCTTTCACTGGGTTCTAGCGGCATCCGACCTTTCACACTTCCCTTGCAGAGCAAGATGCTGTTGCGCCTTCAGAGGTATTGGTGAAACCAGCTCTCTGAGCTGAGCTGGCTGCATGTCATTCCCCTGGGGATGAAGGTGACCCTCGGGGAGCAGCAACAGGGCTGCTGCCCAGGTTAGGAATCTTTCAGGACTCAGGCTGACCTTGAACTGATAATGGGATGGGTTAGCGGAGATATTAAAACCCATGATACTAACACTAATACTCTAAGGGAATTCAGGGGCTAAAAGGAGGTGGGAGGAAAATAGAGTGTGGATGAGGATCCAGAAGAGGAGCCAGAAGAGGCTCCAGGCCCAGGTGCTCTCATCGCTCAGAGTCAGTTGTCAGGGCGGCATTAGTCAGGGACAATGGCCGTTGGGGAATAGGATAAGTCATTGCAGCTCCCAGAGGCGAGAGGGGAGAGCAGGAGAGCTTGGGGTAGGGGACAGCTCTGCATGGTAGGCCCTGGAGCCCAATATCTGTGCTTGAATCCTCATTCTGGATACGAATCTGGTGAGAGACCCTGGGTAAGTTTTTAACCAGTCTGTTCCTCAGGGTCCTTATCTTTAAAGTGGATAAATAATTATACCTGCTTCATAGGGTTGTTATGAAGGTTAAACAAGATTAAAAACATGAGACGCACTCGGACAGCAAGATCTAATAGAACTTTCAGTGATGATGAAATGTTTTCTGGGCTGTCCAGTTTGGTGGCCACGTAGAGCTATTAAGCTTTTGAAATAGACTCATGAGATGGAGAAACTGAAGTTTTAATTGTTTTTACTTTAGTTGAAATTTTAAAAAATTTAAACAGCTCCATGTGACAAGTGTCTGCCTCCTTGGATACTGCAGACTTAGACCAATGCCCGCGAGTAGGAAGTGCTCGGTGAAGGTGAGCTATTGTAAGAAGTGTGGGCCAGGAAGCCTTAACTACTAGAGCCTTCCTCTCAACCTTAGTATTTTGAGTGAAGCCCAGAAAGATAAGTACTTTGTGCAAAGGCACTCAGCCAGAAAGTCTGCTGCGATTGGAGTCTCATCCATAGCTGGAACCACAGGCCTATGGAGAAACCTGAGACCATTTCTGAGTTAGGTCTGAAAGACAGAACACATTGGAGAAACATCAAAAGCCTAGAACTTAAGACAGGAGTGGAAATGACCAGGAGTCGGGTGAAGATGGAGCCAGACTGGGCATGAAGCTCTGGGCCTGTCCTACAGAGGGCAGAAAATGCTATGGGGCATCTGGTCACCACCCTCATTTCCTCTCTCCATCCTTACCCCTTCCTTCTGGAAAGCTACTGGAGAGAGCATGGCAGCGCCAGTGGAAAAAAACCTTCTTTTGTGTCAGGTCTGCAGCGACCTCTTGTGGCCATATGAACAACACTTGCCCTAAGGAGGGAATCTTTATTCGTACTATTATTCTCTGTCTATCTATCCATCCATCCATCCATCACCATCCATCCATCCATCCATCCATCCATCCATCCATCCATCCATCCATCCATCCAGGTATTTGTATTTCTTTTTAGCCCTTGCTGTATGTCTAGTCCACCCCTGCCTCCATGAGTTCAGGAAGTGATGGGCATATACTTGGGTGTAGTTTTCGTGGTTCCTATTTTCCCCCATGTTTCCATTATTCTATTTATCACACTGTGTTATATTTATTTTAGTGTCTCTCTATACTTTTAGTATATGACTTCTTCAAAGCCAAGAACTGAATCTAGCTCATCTTTGTGTCTCCAGGCCTAGCACCTAAGTATAATTGTTAGGAATTTTGGAGTCAGAGAAATACAGGTTATAGTCCTGGCTATGCAGCTTACTAGGCAAGGAACCTGGGGCAGTGACTTAATCTCACTAAGCTTCAGGTTCTAAATTTGTAACATGGTAATAACAACATTCAATTTCTAGTATTGTGGGGAGAATTACACTTTTGCACACACTATATCTTGTACATTTGACCCTTCACCTGAAATTGGATTCTTTTGTATCTTCTGAGGAGCCTTATACCACCAATGCTATACTACCCTTTTCTCTCTCATGAATCCAGTCCCCCCATCTCAACTGGATTTTTTTCCATAGATGCTTCTGAAAGATGCTAAGGTCTTAAAAACTCTTAACGAAACCAAACCAAGCCAGCAAGCTCACCTTGATTCCACACCCCCCTGGGAGCCCCAATTCATAGGCACTCTAGTTGAGAAAGTGGTCTATAGCAGACCTTACCAGTTGGTATTCTGAGACACATTGGTGTATCTCAAATGGCTATAGGTGTTATAAAATATTGCTTTCCTTAGCCCTCAGAGCATCTGTGTGGGACCGCACTTCCAGCTGGGAGCAGCCTTGTGCAACTGGCCAATGTCCACTGAGATATAATTTTCTATAAGTTTCACAAAGCAGTAGATTTTGGCAAGCACTGGTGTGTGTTAGCTTACTCCTCACTCATCTTCAACCCATTCCAATTTGGCTTCAGATGTGATTCCTTCACATGTCTGGCCCATCCAATGGATGGGTTTTGTCCTCATTTTGTTTGGGTACATGCTAATGTCATTACTGTGGGTTACTCCCTCCATTTTAAACCACTGTGAAGCAACTGTGTCCTGGTTTTCCTACCATCTCTCCCAGTAACACCTTCCCATGTTCCTCCGCAGGCTCAGCCTCCCTCCTCTAGTGGCTGTGAAGAAGTTCTTCATCCCCTGGCCCCATGCCCTTTTCTCTTTTCACTTTCCCTTTTAGTGAGAGTATTTCTCTCACTGAGGATGCTCATCTGTGCCATGGTTTAACTTGCTACCCCTGATGCAATAAATCCCAAATGTATCTTTCTAGCCCAAGCCATAAGCCTGAGTTTCAGATATAAGTATCTGACTGCTTACCTGAGAGCTCCATGTGGAGGTCTCAGAAGCTCCTTTTACTCAACCTGTCAAGGCTGAACCCAGCCTCGACCTCCCAACCTGGTCCTTTTCTGTTTCCTACATTATCCAACAGCACCACTAACCCTGATTGTGAGTCTGAGACAGCTTGTCATGACTCTGATTTTCCCCAAAGTGCAAAATAAAGCAGCAACAATGTTCCCATTCACATGACCCTTTAAGATAATAGATACTGTGTATTTGTGGGCACACACATGTGCTTTATGTTTTTCTTGTTTATTATCTCCTGACTGCCTGCCCTCACGGCCAGTCTGGCTAAATCTCGGTCATGTCTTCGATTTAAAAGTTTATGCCAGGCACAGTGGCTCACGCCTGTAATCCCAGCACTTTGGGAGGCTGAGGCGGGCGGATCACGAGGTCAGGAGATTGAGACCACCCTGGCTAACATGTTGAAACCTTGTCTCTACTAAAAATACAAAAAAAAAAAAAAAAAAAAAAAGAAGGAAAATTAGCCAGGTGTGGTGGTGGGTGTCTGTAGTCCCAGCTACTCAGGAGGCTGAGGCAGGAGAATGGCGTGAATTCGGGAGGCAGAGCTTGTAGTGAGCTGAGATCGTGCCACTGCACTACAGCCTGGGCAACAGAGCGAGACTCCATCTCAAAAAAACAAACAAACAAACAAACAACAAAAAACAAACAAATAAAAAAAACCAGTTTATTTAACCGTTCCTGCAGAAACATTTTCCTGACCGCCATTCCCCACCCAGGCTGAGTTAGGTGCACATACATCCCCTGTCTGAGGATTTAGCACTTTTCCCTGGCACTGTGATTGCCTCTTGTGTGCATTCCCCCAAGAGACTGCAAGCTTCTGAGGGCAAGGGCCATTTCTGTCTTGCTCTTTGCTGTACCCTCAGTGCCTGGAAGCAGGTGTTCGTCATATATGTGTGAGATGGAGACTGCAATAAGGCAGAGGTCCCCTTCTCCCTGCAGTGTGATGGCTGCTAACTGCCTTCTCACCTACCCTCCTTCAGGTCCTCTTACCCTCTCTTATTCATGAATAAGTAGATTTTAGGGTAAGGTTACTTTACTAAAGGTGGTTGGTTGACTCTGAATTAGCTTAGTATCCAAATAACTCAGCACCTATTACTTTCCTCCGTGGCAGTAGGAGAATATCAATTTCTTTGGAGGGACATCAGTTTAATCCATGCTGTTCCTTTGAATCGGAACTCCACACTCCCTCTACTTCCTTACTTTCAATTTCCTACGTACCCACCCCATTCCTCCTCGCATGTGCCATCGTAGGCAGCATGTTATGTTTTCAGTATGCTTCAGATAAAACATCCTTGACTGGAAGTCTGTGGTTATCAAAAACAGCTTTAGAAATTAGGGAATGGCTCCACAGAAGGAACTGAAAATGACTGGAAGCTCATTTTTGGCTGGAGATTGAGGAAGAAAAGCATATATAATTAAAGTGATAAATTGCATTATTTTGGGTTCTCTGTTTACCACTGTCAAACATAATCTATTTCATGCATTTATATAGAATGCATAAAATAGGTCATATTTAATTTTCTTCAGTTTGCTTATTTTCTCCTCCAGTTCCTTGGGTAGATGCAGAACCCAGATGGAAATGGGAAGACTATAAAACTTGTGTCTTTAGAGGAGATGGTGGTAAAGGATTTAGTGCACTGGACCCTGGGAGTTGGACACTCACGGGTGAGGGAAAGAGGCTCCTAGGAATGAGCATGGTGTGTGAATCAGACAGGCTTGAGTTAGAATCCTGACTTTGCTGAATGAGGCTGCATGGCTTGGATTCCCTACTCATTCCTCTTCTCAAAGTATTCCTTCCTGCATTCATTCCCTCCACTCTTTCCCACCATCAATTTGTCTCTCCACTGGACTTTTTTCATCTGTATATGGACACGCACAGTAACATCCAAAGCAAACTAAACCTCTCCTTTGCCTCACTCATCTTTTTCAGCTTCCTCCCCATCTTTCTCCTCCCTTCCATTTGGGCCAGAAGACTCACCCACACTCACTCTTTCCTCTTCTGCAAACCCTACTCACTCCCTGATAGTGGGTGATCTGGCCTTAGCTCCCACCACTCCACTGAATTGCTTTTGCTAAAGACACAAAGTCTCCTGTGTTGCTGGCTCCAACAGGGGATTCTCGGCCCTCTGCTGACTTGGCCACTCTGCATTTGAACCGTTGACATTTCATGTTCCACTCTGAAATGCTTTTCTGTCTTGGCATGCATCACGTCCCCTCTCCTAATTCTCCTGCCTCACCAGCCACTCCTTAGTCTGTTTGCCGGATCATCCTCTTTCTCCTGACACTAAATGTAGGGATGTTCAGTGTTTGCTATTTACACTGTCTCTCTATTCTCACGGCTTGAAATAATATGCTCGTGACACCCAACTTTATATCTCCTGATCTGACTCAACCTCTCCCGAGGATCTTGGACCTGAATATGCAATTGCCCAGCTCTACTCCTGCACTTGGGTGGGTCACAATCATCTCGAACTTGACATGCCCAAAATAAAACTCTGTCCCTCTCCTCCTTGCTGGGAACGAGTAAACAGATGCACAAACAATTCTTGTCATGGTTCCTGCTCTCATGCCCACCAGTCTTCTCAGCCGGTAAACAGCACCACCAGTTACTCAAATCCAAACCTCAGAGTCACACTTCACATCTAACCTATTCCCAAGTTCTATTGATTCCTCTTCAAAATATATCTCAAATACACCTTATTCTCTCCATCTTTTCTGCCACCATTACAATGGAGTTCCCCAATGTCCTTTGCCTACATTACTGTAAAGGCCTCTTAATTCTTTTCCTGGCCTCTGCTCCTACCCTCCTTTTTTCCATCTTGCACAGAGCAGACAAAAGTGACCTAATCAGTGTAAACAGATCAAGGTAAATACTCCTCTGGCTAAAGCCCCTAGCTCCCTATCTCTCCATTCCACTAAGAATAAATCATCACCTCTTTTATAGCACCCTGCATGCCCAGCCCTGTCTCTCTGGCCTGCCCGGAGGCTATGCCCCCCTCTTACTATGTTCTGGCTGATGTTTCAGATCTGCCAACACAGGGAGCACCTTGCTTTCTTACGTGCTCTTCTGTCATTCTCTCTCTCTCTCTCTCTTTTTTTAAGATGGAGTCTCACTATGTTGCCCAGGCTGGAGTGCAGTGGCATGATCTGGGGCTCACTGCAACTTCCTCCTCCCGGGTTCAAGCTCCTTCCTTAGCCTCCTGAGTAGCTGGGAATACAGGCGCCTGCCACCATGCCCAGCTAATTTTTGTATTTTATGTAGAGACAGGGTTTCACCATGTTGGCCAAGCTGGTCTTGAACTCCTGACCTCAAGTGATTCACCCACCTTGGCCCCCCAAAGTGCTGGGATTACAGGTATGAGCCACTGCACCTGGCCGCTCTTCCCTTTGTCTCAGGGGCTCTTCCGCTACCCACCACCTCTCTTCCTGCCCTTTCTAAATAAATAAATAAATATTATTAAATATTCAAAAGTGAAAAGCATATGAAAGAACATAAGAAACATTCGGGTACTCATCACCCAGCACTTTTTAATTCGAAAATGTT